TGAGATATGAGGTGGTATGCGTCTTTGATAAATCATCCATGTGTATTTACATGTACATGCGTTAGCGTATACCTAGGCCCACTTTCATATGCTACATACCGAGAACTCACAAACTAGTTCTATGTATATCTCTAGATGTGATTGGTTTGGGGAGTTCGTGCCTTCTTGATCTTCATCAGATCATTGTGACTGCAATACATCTGTTCACTCCATCTGCGCTACTTGCCCTGCACATTCCCTACTATCTCTATCCAAGTATTCCGCCCGCCTGCATCGCCACCACCTCTTGGGCTCTGTCCTTAGTGTGTGTTGTGCTATGGTCATAATTTATGTCATTGACTATGTGATTTTCATGAGAAGCACCAAGAAGCACTCTGCTGACAACTTACTGCATATTGTAGCATGCTGGGTAGGAGTGTGTAGAGGTCCATGGGAGCAAACTTCATGCTCCAATGCACTTGGCCCAAAAAATATTAGAAGCTGATTGTTGAGTGCCATTCAGGTGTGTGTTAGGTGGACCACAGCTGGCGAAAATTATAAATGTAAATACATACATGCGAATGTTGTGTGTAAACATATGAAGGTTGGCTCTAAGATGATTTAAAGATTCGGTTCACAACCAGGGTGGAGCGGTGGACTGTCAGGGATTTGTTCTACTGTATCCAAGTTGCCAGAACTATCATGCAGGGAAGCTCCAGGGAAGTTGTCTTGCATATCGTCGGGAGGATTATCAGGTGGTCTACTGCAAGAGTCTTGAAGCTTGTGTAAGTGGATGGTTGGAAAGCACCACAAACTGTGCAGGCTTACCTGGAGAGTGAAACTTATGCACGACAAAGTCAAGTACTTTATCTGCTAGAGGTTGAAGTTCAGGTCTGGATTGCAGACATCTTGGATGAAGTTCCAATCAAAGTCTGTTATTGCAAGATGACTATCTGGATGTTGTGGTCCATGACCTTCGGGCACAATGCTCTTTTGGAATTGATCTCAGGCCAAGGGGGTCCTGGGAGAATCTGTTCAATCAGTCCTCACACAGCGGAGGTTTCAACATTTTACCACTTTTTGTCGTTAGTGAAATCACATTCGAAATGCAATGTAGAGCACTCCAGAGCACTCCAGGCTAGGTCTAGATCTGCTTTTGATTGAAATTTTGCAAGAGGTAAAATGTCCAAACCTCTGATGTGTCAGGGGAACATTTTGTGACCAAATATCAACTTACATTACACAACCAAAAGACCAAGTCCAGGCCACCTACATCGTCCAATCAAATGGGTTCTGGTGCAGCATAGCGGATTGCACTTGGACGTAAATATGTTGCAGCCAAGTGTGACTGGCCGGAGTTGTGTAGTAAATGCTTCAAAGTTCTCGCGGCGACATCAGGTGGAACCCTGACAAAGACCCCGGACCTCAATGCCAACAAAGTTGAACAAACACTTAGTGACTTTAAAGTTTCTGACTCAGACATCCTCTGGCTTCCAAGTTCGATTGGGTCCTGAAAAGTGAAAGGATGCAGTTTTTTCAAAAATCCCATTTATTGTCATTGTAGGCTAGCCTCACTGCTCCTCATACTCTTGAGATCAACTCGTCTTTTGGAAAGTACGTTCCTACCAGCCTTTTCCCCCTCTACTCCCTACTAATTTATGGTGAGACTGCCAGTGGCAGGGATTACTAGTACACACAGACAAGAGTCAAGGAAATACCGCTCTTTTGACTGTCTTCATTACTGATGCCATGCGGTCGGGTCCAACACTTGAAGTTCATGTTCGGGCAAATATTGATATCACTCTCCAGCTGTGTGATTCGGCTGACAGGTCTAGAGGAGTTCTTGGCATCTAGGCTATGTGTTAGAAGCAGATGCTTCGTGTGTGACTAGGCTTGACACTACTTTGAGCATTGTTACTTATCATGAGGTGAGTCTCTGAACCACAATGTAATATTGTAGCCTAGTACTAAAAGTTCATACATCTATGGTTTACAATCTCTGGAATGTTTATCTGCCAACCGTCGGTCCTGCCTATACTCTCATCCTGAAGTCTTCCTATAGTCCATTAGCAAGCACAACCATTCTGATCCAAGTGCCAAGTACTTTCCAAAAACACCTTTTCTACTAGGATATAAAAGCAAGCTAACCTCATTCAACTCCCCATACTCCCTGGATCAATTCGTCTCTTAGAAAGTACATTCCTGACTTTTCTTCCCTCTACTCCCTAATTGATGGTGTGACGGTTAGTGATGGGGATTACTAGTACACACAGACAAGTGTTAAGTAGTGGGACCGCTCTTTCAAGAGTCTTCATTGCCGATGTGTGCGGTCGGATCCAGTACTCGAAGTTCAGGCCTCAGGTTCAGGCCAATATTGATATCACTCCACAGCTGTGTACAATATTGTGTGATTTGGGTGATGGGTAGAGGGAGTTCTTGCCAGTATCTAGGCTATGTGTGTCAGAAGCAGATACCTTATGTTCGAATATTTGAGGGGTGTGACTCTGTTCATTGAGGGCTTAACTTATCTCCATGACCTCCACTGACATGTCAAAAGATGTTTTCAGCCATTGCAGGCTTCTCAATGTTCGATGTCACGATCAACCCCACCAAGAAAACCAAGCACATGGATGAACAGAAGCACAAGAGAGGGACAGGAACAGAAAAAATGGATTGACCGCCTCCATTTCACAACTCGTCTGATTATATGTATTTGTGGCACTGAACGACCGGCAGAAAGAAGAAGAAAAAAACGCTTCAATTTCACCATCCATGTGCATTTGTAGCACTCGTCTCCAGCTAATTATATTTCTGCACGGTGAATTTGTAACATATGATTGTAATAGCAGTATCAAGTTCAATAATGACTGCAGAGTGCGATCATAGCAGGCTCTGCTGCAAGTGGCCTTTCACGTTATCAAATAATATAAAAGGTCCAGTATGATCAGTGTTTCGCCACCCTTTATAGGGTCCTGGAATACCCAAGTGCTAGAGGTTGTATCATGTTGAATGTTCAGATGTCCACAGTTCACATGCTCTTGATCATTTATCTGCAAACCTTTGGTTCTGCCTATACTCTCATCCTAAGGTCACCCAGAAGTCCACTGGCAAGCGCAACAATTCTGATCCAAGTACCAAGTACTTCCCAGAAACACTTTTTCTACCAGGATATAAAAGCCAGCCCTCTTCCTAATACTAACTGCCACTAACAGAATCAGAGCTACTGTTCCTCTTGATGTATCCCATATAACCTAGCACGAGCCATGCATTTTCCATTCCTCCTTGCAGTCGTTGTGGCTTTAACAACATCTATGTCTGTCAGCGCACAAATACAGTGTGCAATTAAAAAGCAGCTTTGTGGCTCGAGCACCCTGACAAACATTGGATGCTGTGGTAAACTTGTCTGTGAGCCGAGTGTGAGTCATTTGCTTTGCATCCAAGATTCAACCCCATGACTCACCTTTGTGCCTTGTACCAATAGCACCCTGGCGCTAGCAAGCACTGCCAGTAACCCTTTCCAGATGAGCTTGGCAGACTGAACATGTCACAATAGCGAGTCGTATTTCTTTCACGTTGGTACAGTCTGTCAGAAATTCCTTATTTGTATTTCAACGGTTTGCAACCGGTTTCAACTTCCAAATGCAGCGAATGTCTTTAATAGGTTGCTATAATAGAGTCGTGATTTCAAGGTGATTGCAACTGAATTGCAACGGAATTGGGACGGAATTGGAATGTAATTGTAATTTTTGTTTAAATGGAATTGATCGTTCAAACCTCCTGTTTTCGTCTTATTTCAATGACTATTGCAAGCATCATTGTCAAGCTCATTGTCATCAAAAACATGGCATTGCGACTCAATCTTGCTATTGGATTGCAAGCCTATGATACAAATTGTACGATGTTGTCCTTAAACTGTATTATCTATTATTAGGCCTCATATAAAATACGGCCAAGGCAATAGTGATAGCAATATGTTCTTGGCTATACCGACCATCAGAACCAGAAGGATATCGAAGAGAGCAAAGAAAACTGACATAATAATAATACCACCAGTGGAAGTGTGACAACCAGGAAGCGGTTATCCGATGTTGGGACTTGGAGGTCATGGGGGACAGCATTGGCGGCTGTATTGTTAGAAGGGTGGAGGTGGTCGTGGGGGCAATGTGGATGAGACGGTGTAGAGACTCGATCCTGGGTAGCCTCACAATGGCACATATTGCAACATAGGTCGAGTCTACAGTATCATGCATGTAACATGACACTTGCGCGATAAACACGACGTTCGCGCGACGCGCGCGACATAGGCGACACTTGCGCAACTTGCGCGCGCTTTAGGCGAATTTTCCCGCGCCTAAGCGCTATAGGGCGCCTGACTTTCCACTGTGTTTTCCCATGTCCAACCAAGTTCCCAGGTATGCATTTCTCCATTTATCATTTATTTCAACATCGTACCATGTTTATTTTCACTTGGTACACATTTTTCATTACACATTTTTTACTTTACACAACACACATTACCACGGACCACCATCATCATAGACAGTCACCATCTCCGAGTTTTTATTATGTTTTGAATAAATCATCGCAAGCCCTAGTAGCAGTTAGCTCTAGTGGCCATATCCGCATCAGTTGTCTTATCAGCATCTCAGTACACGTCTTAACATCTCACTATCGCTCGCATACCGCTTTCACCCAGTTCCGCTTTTCGACGCGCGACTTTCCCGCGCTTCGCGCGCCTATAGCGCCTTTGTTCCCGCGCTTTCGCCTTATCACGCGCTTTGTGCATTCCCCCTAGAGTTGACCAGTGGATATTTGCTTTCTCCGCTTCCCCTAAGGGACGAACATATCGCACTCATATTTTCCTCCCTTCAACAATTATATCAGCTGCACCCTCAGCTGAGTTGAAGATCCTTCAACGGTGCCATTGTTGGATTCAGACGGCTGGGGAAAGTGGATTCAGATGGTACGTTGATGGAGGCCGCACGATGACAGACTGCAGGGGGCGGGGAAAGATAGGCGATTCAGAAGACTCCACCTCCAATGTGATCGTCTTGCCCGTGCACATCTTGACAAAGATCTGCATGCCTCCACGGAGATGCAAAACCAAGTGAAGGGTAGACTCCTTCTGGATGTTGTGGTCGGAGAACAAGGTGGAGGGTGGACTCCTTCTGAATGTTGTAGTCGTAAAGGGTATGTCCATCCTCAAGTTGCTTGCCGGTGAAGATGAGACGCTATTGGTCAGGGGGGATACCCTCCTTATCCTGGATCTTCGCCTTCACGTTGTCGATGGTGTCAGAAGACTCTACCTCCAATGTGACGTGAGGGTGTTGACACAGATCTATTTGCGACGTCCGTGTATGAGAACATCCTCGTCTTCATCTTCCTCCTCTAATCACCTGTCGTTGACTGTATAATTTAAAGACCATTACAACCAACAGTCCTGGTGGTAATTTCAAATTTGCGGCTGCATCCCACGCTGGTTGCTGTTCTCAGCATCAATGTCATTCATAGTTGGTCATGTTCAAATTGCTACCCACCTTCGAAAGCCAGTGCATAAGCCTACAATGGAGGTAAGAACTTGGCCACGATTTTGATAAATGAAATTTATCAGTCGTACGGATAGTCTTCCTGGCTGAAGTGTGCCGTCAAGAAGAAGGCTGCAGATGTGAACATTAGATACTGGCATTCCGTAAACTGGAGCGTTCCATACAGTCAAGGAAAGTATGCCATGCTCCTGCTGAGGCTCTTCTGGCCGTTTCAACAGTCCCACCAATGACAACAAGTTTCTGTCGCGAACATTTTGCGTTAGTACAATCATTACTCCTGAACGAACACAGCGTACAAGAGTGTCTTGTATTGTGTTAGCACTGCCAACCCCCAGTGGGGATAGCATACTCTTGAGTGCATCCATAGAGGATGAGGGTATTAGAGAAAGTAGGGGGAGGCGCACTTCTTCCTGCTACGGACGGCCTTTTAAAGGTATTTTATTGGCGCCTCGTGTACAGGGTGGCGGACAAGGATGACGGGATTGATATCTCGGTAGACTTCCCGATTGAAAGCAAGTATGATAAATAATAAGCATTGTTCTGGCGCTGTGCGATCTGAAAGGTATTAGGGCAGCGGACAACCAAAAAGGACCGTGACGCCACATAAGATAAGCACGTGGAGATGTAAGACCAAGTGAAGGGTAGTCTCCTTCTGGATGTTGTGGTCGGAGAATGAGGTGGAGGGACTCCTTCTGAATGTTGTAGTCGGAAAGGGTACATCCGTCTTCGAGTTGCTTGCCGGCAAAGATGAGACGCTGTTGGTCAGGGGGGATACCCTCCTTATCCCGGACCTTCACCTTCATGGAGACAAGACCAAGTAAAGGGTAGACTCCATCTGAATGTTGTAGTCAGAAAGGGTAATATGTCTGTATTTGAGCTACTTGCTGGCGAAGATGAGACACTAATATTGGTCAGGGGGGATTATCCTCTTTATCCTGGATCTTCGCCTTCACATTATCGATGGTGTCAGAAGACTCCACCTCCAATGTGATGTGGGATCTTGACAAAGATAATCTGCATGCCTCCACAGAGACACAAGACCATGACAAGTGAAGGGTGATATTAGACTCCTTCTGGATGTTGTAGTCGGAGAGTGTCTGACTGTCCTCGAGCTGCTTGCCAGCAAAAATGAGATGCTGCTGGTCAGGTGGAATACTGCAGGGAAAACCGTCAGTCATAATAAGTGTCAATGGCGTTTAAATTGACTAATATAAATGAGGAAGATTACCTGGACTTCAGATGAATCTAAATCTGAATTGACCTCAAGAGTGATTCAGATGGTCTTGCCGGTGAGTGTCTCGACGAAAATCTGCATTCTGTGGCTCAGTGTCAGCCTCGTATTATATACAGTAGATTATAGTGATCAAAAGCTCGCACAAAGGATGCGAAGTAGAGTGTACGAAGCTTAAACATTATTCAAATGCTAAGTCGACACAAGTTGAAATGATATTTATTTGGCCTTGTATGGTCTCGTTTATTATTAAGAATACTTTGTACACCCCTTTTAATTGGATTCAGATGTGAGCGCTGAGCGCTGATGACTTGGACGGTCATCTCCTACTATCATTACTGTCATCTAATACTCTTAAGTCTTCATTACTCTGTTTCCTTGCCAGGAGTGACAGATATGAAGGATTGCATCAACCATGGAGTTGCATAATAGTAGCTAAATGTTACAGTTTGACTTCAAGTAAGCACAGCAAAGTAAACTGACGAGCTAATATGACAAATAGGTGCAGGATCCATTGACAAGACTATTTTTGAGACCGTCAAGTAGTACGATCAGAAGCCTCCACCGTTGTAGCTGCCTTCCTCCCTCTTTTCGACTTCTTGGACCTCCCTCCAGTGCTTGGCTCAGTTGCCGCCTCCTCGCCCAATTCTACTGATGAACCGATGGCCGCTTGCACAACATCAGGCATTGCATCCCTCAAATCTGCAGTACCCGCCGTTGGTGGCTATGTCATTGACAATGGGGTCAGGCAGAGCTTCTGCAGTGTGCCAGCGCTGTGTGGAGAGGCTTGGCTGTGAGATTGACTCAGATGCCAGAGCCTGTCGCTCCAAGGCTGCAGTAGCTGTGGGAGTTTCTGTTGCCTCTGCTGCAGATTCAGGTCCATCAGATTCGTCGTTCAAACTTTCCATGTCAAGCGCTGCGAGTGCGCGATCGATCGCATCCGTAAGATCCTCATGTCCAGCAGAATCCAAGGCTGAAGGTCGTGCAGCTTTGAAGATGTAGTGGTTGATATTAGTTACAATTTGTACGATGCACTTCGTCTTCCACTTTGCCACTAGAACTTTCTTGTAGTTGAAAAATAGATCCTTGTAGCAAATAGTCGACCTCTTGCCGATGCCTGTGCTCGAAAATTCAGTGTCAGGAGACAGTAAGAATATTGCCTGCAATAGTGCATGAGGGTGACTGCCAATAAAAAATTGGATGGCATGGCTGGCTTACAAGAACTGCAGCCCACGTGATGGAACCTGGTGTGACTTGCCGAACACTCCATTTCATCAAGTTTGTATGTGCGCCACCACCGCTGGAAGCTTGATGGAGGGATGTGACACCGCGCAATGAAGCTTTCAGAATCTTAGGACATTCCTGGTGAAACAGATAGCCAAGGCAGAGAGCGCCACTAGACTTACTCGCGCCAACAGTTGCCAGTTCCCAAAGACAGTCTTGAGTGATCTGTCCTCTTTCAACTCTGGGAATAGCACCGGAGGGAATGTCTTGTACATTAGGTTTATTGAAGACGTGACCCCAAGGAGTTGTTGGATCTCAGGCACATTGGCTCTGTCGTACCCAGTGTTGGTAAAGTATTTTGAAGGGAGGTCGAAAATGTCGCCAGCAACGCCCCGAAGTTTCTTGATCTCGTTATCACGAGCATCCAGGATGGATTTCATCACCTACAATAATCATATTACACTGCACAGAAAGTTCAGGAATGAGAGTTCACTTACGAGATCGCTAAAGTATGAACTCTCCATCACTTTGTGTAACGACTTGGGGAAGTGACGATAGAGCTCGTCCAGGAATGCCAACTCTTGAGTAGATGCAGTCACATATCATTCAGTGCTGTCAAATGGAGTTGGACAGTCTGGAAGGTGCTTGTTAAGGAGGTCGCTACTAGGAAACATCTCAACCATCATGCCATACTTGTGAGCATAGATAGAAATGGTCTCCTCGTGAACGCTGAGTTCATCGTGAGCATCCGTGCACCGTTTGCGCTTGGGTTTCTCTGCGTGCAGAACTTTGTTTTCCTCTTTGATCATCCTATTCTCCTCTTGAAGCTTTTGCATTTGAACTTGCAACATTTTGAGCATCTGGAGTGAATAATATTCAAGTCAGGAAATGCTCAGAATTGCGCATACATCTTACCTCAAGGAGTTCTCCTTTAGATGCACCGGGGCCCAGAATAGATATGTGACTGGCATCGGCAGCATCCCAATCGGACCTTTTGCTGTCAGAAGAATCTGCTGCACGGATGGGCTGCGAAGTGTGACATGACCATTCAACAAAGCTGTTGTAGGGATGCCAATTCAGATTCTGTTGGAAGGGCAGAAGGCGACAGAAATTACTCACCCAGTACCACACGTTATAAAGCGCCTGCACTGCCCAGTACCTTAGCGGTGTCAGACGTAAAATTGCTACATGCAGTTTTACACATAGAATTCACTAATGAAACCCTGATTAAGATAGGCGTCACTCTTATCCAACACCCTTACATAAGCATAATCCTAACCCTAAAAACGGCCAAACCTTCGACTTGAAAATTTTCAACAGTTGAGATTGAGAGACTGAAGAAAGATTAGTGACGAGTTTGTTATTAGTACATGTAGTAACACTATATACTGGTGCAATTAGGCCTTTCTCAGTGCCTCCTTAACTTCAAGGATCATAGAGGGGGGTAGAGTGCGATGTCCATGGTATTGACGGTTAGCCCAAGCTGCCTCGCCACCAGTAAGACCTTGTACATACGTGGAAATGAAACGCGCAGATCGATTTGCATATCTGTGTTGCGTACCATTGTTAATAGTGTACATACAAGAACAGCCAATGAAAATAAATACCTTTGAATTTGAAGTAAAGGTACATCATCAAGGCACGAAAGGACATTTCTCTCCATCGCATCCATATCACATGTGCGCTGACTCGTTCGGTATCGAAAATTTGCCGCGCCCCAGTATTGTTCAATGAAATTTAGTTCACAATGAAACTTTGGATAGAAATCGCAGGTGTGGCCACGGGAAGTGATGTATTCTTCGAGGTGAGATTTTTGTGAAGTGAAATCTGGTTGGGAAAACAATAATCGCCGGCAACAACAGTCTGTGCGGTTAAGCTCGCACTTGAATCCCTCGCACTGTGCATTGAGTCCAGTTGTGGGCCAGAGATTCCGCTCTCGAATGATTGTTTCCATGCCTTTGAACCAACCAGGCATGGTTGGGTGATTGTCACAATAATAAAATTCCTGCGATTGACTGTTGAATGTGCCGTTCCGCATGTGTGGCCCATCTTTATGGTGCGTCCAGTTTTGATGAGGTCTTTTTGGCATTTTTCGAGCTGACAAGGCATCCGGTGCTCGTTTTTGGTGGCTTGGTGCATTGTCGAACATGAACAAGCCTGTTGCGAAGCCGTTGGTTCTGTCGTCGAAGATGTCGATTGAGTGCTCCACTTGTTTGAGCAGATCTAATGCGGAGAAGTACCCATCCCGGTTTTTTCCCGCCTTGAAAATAACCCGCGCCTCGCTAAATTTTACGCGGTCAGCATTATTTCACGCAATGCTGCAAATTGCGAGACTCACTTATCACCATGCTGCAACCGGCCCCATTCAGACGTTAACATATCTGATATCATCAATGATGGTCCTTCGCCCTTGGGTTGAGGAGTGGCCTTCTCACTTGAGTGAGACCACCCCGTTTTGCGACGGTCGTTGGCATAAAATGTCGATTCATTGTGAGTTACGAGAATGAGACGAAATCGGCCAGCTTGAGCCACGGGGAAGCCCTTTGGTGTGTACTGAATGTTGCCATCATTATCGTAGATAAACATTCTCTTCTCATACTCCTGCCATCGTCGAATGAACTGATTGGGATACTCAATAACATCAGGACGTTCATGGCCGTCAATGTACATGCCATTCCGTTTTCATCCATAACGCCAATCGAGTTTGCGCAGCCACCGCTGTCTTAATAACCGAGGGTCTTATATAAATACGTGTAAGAATGTAATGACACCACAATTACACTGGATAAGACTTCTTGCCAGTCCTCGATTAACACGGTCTACGACTTTTCTTCTTTCGTGGTAGATAACGTGTGAGTTCTTGGGAGGCTCGCTAAACCAATCAGTCAGATTAACTTAGCCGGAGCTTTATTATCTCTGATTGAAACTATGGGATTGTCTAGGATATACCGTCTAGACACTTGAACTGGTTTCCTGAATATACGGTTAACTGTTGAGAAGCTGGTCTCAAATGTGACTACGTGGACCAAAGCTCGTGTTGGTCAATATACAAATACCTGGTGAGAACGCTGGTCTCACAAATAACAACAAATGACAAATATAAACCAATGACAAATAACAACAATGACCAAAGCTCGTGTTGGTCAGTATACAAATACCTGGTGAGAATGCTGGTCTCACAAAAAACAACGGTGACCAAAGCTCGTGTTGGTCAGTAAACACTACGTGGTGAGAACACTGGTCTCACAAAACTGGGTTTCTATCGCGAGAAACTTACGTAATCTCAAGGGAAACACTTTCCCTGCACTTGCCTGGACAGTTCTTACAAAGGAAATGGGCTTTGTAAGCAGCAATTTGTTCAGACTGAAGCTTCTTAGGTGAGAGTTCAATTTGCTCAAGTGGGAGTTCTTGAATGCAACAAGTGGGAGATCTATTTTTTTTGGGGGAGAATGGGCTCTCCTTATATACATTTTGTGTGGGAATATTATGTAAGTAAAAAGGTGATGTAATGACTTCAGAATGTGAGAAGAATATTCCAAAAACTGGAGCAGAATGTTCTAGCAGGTGCAAAAGAACATTCCAGAATATTCATGGTGGGATAATGACATCATTCTGAGTCACTATGAGTCACTATGAGTCATTATGAGTCATTGGAATGTTCTAGCAAATTCCATGGAACATGACATCATTATGACATCACTATGATATCATATCTTTCAACCAAAATACCTGCAGGAGTGTAGGTGAAGTCCTATGACATCATTATGACATCATACCCTGTAGGTACAATTTTATGAAGCATCTGATTAGTCAGAGCATCCTAATAGAAAAGTAAAGTAAAGAAACACTAGAGAAAACAACTCAGAAATAATGGAACAAATAATAGTACACAATATGCGGGCTTTTTAGATAGGTTTTTGTTAGGCTTTGAACTTTTCTCTATGGGTTTCTCTAGCCAAAGTGAATAAGCCAAATGAAAGGCAATACATTAACCTTCATTTTGCTTCTCATATCAACTAGGTCATTATGTGATTCCCATCTCACATATGACTTTTCTTCAAAACATGGTGGATTCATGAATCACTGAGGGAAAACTGAAACTATTGGACCAAGGTTTGATACCAAGGTATGGGTTGACTAGTCTGAGGACTAAGCTAACAGACTTTGTCTTTTAGGGGGATACCTAGTAGTCATGTCCATGCATGATTCCCAAATCATGCAGGACACCGCTTTGAAATTACCTTGGCCTTTGCACCAAGCCTCTCCTGCACTTTTGGCATGGCAACATAGTCCACAATATCTTGAGCTCGGATGTGGCCCTCCTGTTGCTGGACTTCAGACAGGTGAAGTTGAATTTCTTGTGCGAAGTCTTCATCCTCAAGAATTGATGAGTGGTATTGACCGTATCGATGGAGAGGTAACTTCCCATTACGGAGAAACTGATGAATCCAGGTGCGTATGTTGCGTGCATGATTGATTCCTTGGCCTAGTGATTTCGAGGCCACAAGAGATGCTTCACGCCAACCATATGACAGCTCTGGATCAAGGTAGAGGTTCAAAGCACCAAGCATTGCTGTGATGCGAGATCAGAAAACCACATCAAGCTTCTTGTCTTTGCTGCTCGCTGCAATTTTTTCTCGAGCCCGATGTAAGGCAGGGAAGTCTTTGTAATCAAGAGCGTTGAGAACTGAATCTGTGAATGTCTCTGGACTGTCATCGCAGGGTGGCTGTCCATTCAGGACGTCTTCCAGCATTTTCTGAATTTGTTCCTCCTGTTCGCTGAATAATATTTCAAAAGGTGATGATCGAGATGGATTCTTTCCCATGGAATCCCCAGATGAATTTGATGCTGATTCGGAAGATTCTTCTTCCTCCTCTCGAACAGGGCTTGGCTATTTTTAAATGATTTACTCATGCACAACAGTGACAAGCCATGACATCAGAACTCACCTCATATGGGGCTTCAGTGCCTTCATCTCGGACACCCTCCACTTCGAATTCTGGCTTCTTTGTCATCCAGCTGCTGATGAAAGTCTGATTTGTTCCTGCAATCCTTGTCCTTTTCAGAGCATGACGTCGTAGAGTCCGAGTTGAGTTTCCAGTGTAATGCTTTGGCCTTCCGGCACCTTTTGACCTTTGTCTTTCCCCTTCGGCAGCAGTATTCTGTGCTTGAAAGAGGATTTCTGAGAATGTGAGAAGTGCTGCTTCATCCTGTATATCTCCCTCTTCTTCCACACTGAACTCCATATCATCTTCAGAATCACTGCAGCTGGAGTCCTCCTCAGAGTCAGAGACATTTTCGACTGTGGCTTTGCGGGACTTGGAAAGTGCAGACTGAATATTTCTGAGACGAGCCTTATTAGCTTTAGACTTTACACCCATCGAGAGATGCTTTATGTGTGTACTATCACTGATTTTTGCTGCCTTCTCCTCCTCGGTCCTGCCCAGGCACATATCATGTGATGTATTATATAAGCGGCCAAATGTTGGTGTGCCGAAAACTTTAAAATCATTCCCTTGCATCCCATGGCCTTATAAACCACTTTCTGACTTTATAGAACAAGATTTTTCGGAGGATGAAAATCTCCTCCAGTTTTGAATATTTTTTATTTCTGCTTCCTGGCAATTCAATTTATGCTACTCATAGATAGTTCCTAGGATCCATATACATTAGAAACAAATATATGTGTCCATAATTTGAGCAATGGTGAGGCTCTCAATGTGCTGATGTAAGCGGTGCTGGATAAGAGTGACGCCTATCTTATGTATAATGCAGAAAGCGTTGATCAGTCTAAGCCAATGCAAGAGATTAGTCAATTGTGCACCAACATAAGTCAAGATTTTGGTGTGAAACTCGTAAAAGATGCTTAGACTGGAGTGATAGAACACGTGTAGCTGCTGCGCACGATCAGATCGAAGGTTAAGTTGAGTTTAATAGTAAGAGTGACTCACAGTCCAGAACACGAATTTCTTGGTCTGATTCAGACATGGCAATGGGCAGGTGGGCGCAAGCTGTACAAACAATCAGTGGTTGAAAAATTTGAGTTATAATGAACAAACTTCCGAGGAGGCCTCCATGCGATTGCAAGTAAAAGTCACGCACTGCTGGATTGCGTACTGATCAGCAACAAATCCTGCAGGACACTTACCAGATTCAGACTTGTCTGAATCCCTATTGTTCCTTTCATAAATTGAGTATAAATGGAGGTACTAATAGCCGAGCGACATACCTGCTCTTCGGGAAGAATTGGACGTGGTGTCTGGAGGTAAAACACAGTGGATGAGTGACAAAAGCGAATATATAGAATAGATCGGACTCACAACTATGAAGGTCAACTCAGGTTTCGCACCCTTCACGTTTTTGTCCCGCCAGATGTTATCAATCATGCCTAGTCACTAGACATGGTAAAAACAAGAAATGGTCATCACTGGCCTAACTCACCTGTGGTGAGGCTGAACTTGGAGAAGGTCGTGGTAGGTGGCAGCACTGTGTGTGAGACCTTTGAGTTTGAATCCCATAATATATGTAGTATACTGTTGTTAGTAAGGAAAACATGGATTGATATTGCTTGAATCTAATAAGCTCACACGATCAGAAGCAGACTGTTGAAAGGATCATACTGACTGTCGAATAGTGACTCCAGAATGTTCAAGTTATCGCTGGTACAACTGCACATGCTACTGATGGAGATAAGTTTCTGAGGGCAGGGAATTAACATCGACATGTCAATGGTGTAATTTACATAGAGGCATAGTGCTATTAGTGTACTACTGAGGATGTATTAGCAGAGCGCCTCAATGGTCGAAGAGATAAAAGACTTACCTGAAAGCGGAATTGATCAGATACGCACTGGATGACCTGCCTGCAGGTGCATCTCCCTTACACGAAGAAACATGTCTGTATCGATGGTGTTGACCATGAAGTAATCGAGGGGGTTGCCACTCAAATCCTGTACTAGGAGTGCCCCACGAATGATTGATCAGACTGAGAAGAACTCTTTGTGCGTGGTTGTGCTTTGACTCTGAAAAGGTTAAGTTGTTTGTCTTTTCGAAGCCGTGGGCCTGTTGGAGCGTCAAAGGGGTGGATGAGAGCAAGGGGAAACGAATCATTCCCAATTGCACATTCAAAAAGGAAGACTAGACGTCCAAGGATGATGCCTTTCTGTGTCCGGATGAAGACAAAGTCAAAACGTGGTGTGTTGAAGAACTTAGGATTGCACCGGAGATAGTCAGTATGCTGTTTCCAGTCTACCAGTGACTCGTAGTTGACTCGTAAGAATCAACACTCAGTAACCTGTTTCAAATCAGTATAGTGACAAAAGGCTGGATTGAATGAACATACCATATCATCTGGTTGTAAACAGATTCTTCTTCTGTTCGGCAGTGGAATGTTGCAGGCGGGTAGAAAGACATTTAAGAATTCATTCAGCTTGATGCGGAAGTTGGTGAATTCAACATTGGTATGGTGTGCGTCCTCGATGGAACAGAAGGTTTGTGCTGCTTGTCTTGATCCCATTTTCACGTGTAGAGACGGATCTAGAGAAACGGCGCCCAGACCATCCATGCCAATGACGATATCTTCATCATCTAATAAATCATCATCCGCGTCGTCTGATTTCCACTGCGAATATTCATCGAAGTCTAGTATACACCGACTGATATCATCAGCTACAAGTAGCCAGTGATCAATGCAAAGAAGCTGAATATGTAAATATAGCACAAGATTAGTAGAGAATGACAGAAGCCATTGACGCTTACCTGCTCCGCAATGTCTTTGAAGTTTGTCCGGTTCAAGTACCAGTCCTTGAAGGGCCCATGCATTTGCTCATTCGGCTTGGTGTTGTAATTGCGTGAGGCACCTTTAGCCTCAATGTCGTCGAATATATGTGTCGTCATGTGCAGTTTCGGAAAGTTCCAATTCTTCTCATTGTCATCAGCGGTCTGTGTCATATATTGCTGCTGATGCGTCAAGGTAGGGCTATCAACAAACTACAATGTACATACCTTCATGAGTGCTGTGAAGGCTTGGACGGTATGCCTCCCCTCTTCGATTGTACCAGTTATGTGGACCTCCAGAGCAGCGTACATGTCCATTTCGAGGTAAAGGCATACACAACACAAGAGAAGATAACCGAGCGGAGAATCATCCTCAGTCAAGACATCATGCGTGGCGTAAATTATCATCTGAGAGAGAAAAAGTTAGTAGCCAGTGCGACTGCATGAGCTCACGAACCTTGGAAATATCCTCATGGACAGAACTGTCCGTAAACGTAACACCAACAACCTGATTTGGGTGCTTGAGATTTCGCCAGCGTGGAAATTTTTCGAATCTAATACATAGTATCGAGCATCAGACCAGAGTATTAATAAAATTTGACAACTTGAAAAGAACAAACCGATTGTCAACTTGCGATACTTTTCCCCTTTGAAGAGTTACAAGGTATTTCTGCAGCTCAACCCAGAGATGGTGTGACCAGAGTCCACCATGATTGAAGTGACAACGATCATGCGACAATGCTCGATGCACGCAGGTGAATGCTACCACCCAAAACGCATTCTAAAACAATCAATCTTTGATATTTACATGTAAAAATACTCCCTCGCCTCAATTAAACGAAGTGCTTGTTCTTTCAGGAGTTCCTCTCTCTCTTCAAAGGTTTCCTTTGCATGTGCAGCATTTATAACTGCTCATGACTCTTTTGATGTTCGTCGGCGATATGATTTCGAAGTATCCCACAGGTCATCTCGAGAAACTAGACAAACGGGGCATGGCCAAAGGCTCATGATTCCTCAAGTAAGCGACATGACAGATCTTGTAATGATAGCATCAAGTAATTAGCAAAGAAAAACGATTCAGACCACAACGACCAATTAGATACTCACTGTTCTTCAAAATCAGTTGATAGAATGAGAATACAAAGAAAGAACCAGCGCTTGATGCCATCTAGACATTCAAACCACTGCCCTGTTTGTGATTTTGAGGCTAACAAAGAGATGATCCTGGCAAATGACTTGTGCCAGACAGTATTTTTGAAGTCTACCCAGCTGGGCTTTCCGGAGTGCAATTTTTCATCCTTCACCTATTGAAACTGCATCAGCAGTGCTAACAGCGAGTCACCAGAGTAAATTGCACGATCAGCAACCATCCCACCACATAACCGCCACCTACACCTCGCCCATTTCGAATTGCGGTTGGTAGGTTTGCTAAACGAGCATAGACTGGATAACCTTTCGCAGTGCCAAATGAGGATAGTTTTGTCTTATCTGCGTACAGTATATAGGCCAGTGGCTTGGCACCTGGTGGGAGTTGCGACTACAAATGTATTATAATGAAAAAAGGACATAACAAAAACCACCAAATATTATAACATACTTGTACATCCCAAATATCTCGCGCAGTGAAAGGCTCATCAACAAAAGAAACAAATGTGTTCCCGTCAAACTTTGAGAGGCAGTGTGCGTCAAACATGAAGTGGGGAAAGAGGCGGGGATTCTGAAGCATATCAGCAGCCAACTCCCAAAGGTCTCGGTAATGTATCTCATAGTCCCGTAATTCCCCATCCCCATTGAAGGGGACCGAAATCACCTCCTTCGTAAACTATACTTCAAATTATGTCAGACTCATTTGGTATAGTGATTCAGATAGGAAATACTGTAGAGATACGACACTAACTTCAACCACATCCAGCCGTGACCATCTTACACTTAGCGTCATAGCTTCAAATGTTGGTGTGACCCATGACTCGACCAAAATAGCTTCAGTCAGGTGTGACAAAGTGTAACATACTATTGCGTCGCCGTCGTTGATGGTGGATCTCCGAGTTGGTCAGTACTTCACTATTGCTGCACATTGTTTCACCTATGGACTGTCAAGCAACACTGGGTGTGGTCTTAAACGCTGGACCTACTGGAACTGTAAGTCCGCCTTCAGTGTCACTCCCAGTCATGCCACAACTTGAAACTGATGCATTTGTCACCTCAGATTGGCTTGAATGTGGTCGCATTTTCGAGCAGAACCACCTTCCATCATCTGTTAGACGTGAAATCAAACAGTTGTTCACTGTTCCAGCATCGATGAATCTCCGTTTGACGAAACTGACAGTGGTCTTGATGTCAGCGATGTGCCTCTGGACACATTAACCAACTATCTAGCTTCGGAGGGGTTACAAACCTATCCTGGTTGCATGTTGGATGTCACCAATGGCAGTCTTGCCTCTGCAACACAATCCAAAGTTCATGATATTGGTGAGGGTGACATTGATGGTGAAGCTGACAGCATTCCAAAGGTAGATTGTGGGCGTGGAAAGCATAGACGGATTGCGAATAGGATGTACACCGACTTTTTGTCTCATTGAGGCGTTCTATATGTTTTTTATTGAATTCACTGCATGTCACAAAATAGCTTCAGTTATGAAAAATCACCATGACAGTCACGTTGAATAGCTTCAATTCACGGCCGCTTGTGACATGTGACGAAGTTAGTGTCGTATCTCTACAGTACTACCACCTTTGTAATGCAGTGCAAGGCCGCCTCCCACATGTTGCAGACATCCTTGTGATTTTTGAACGTGAATTTCTCCTTCCCCACGGCACAGCGATGACATAGCTTGATAAGCCGATCAGTTTGTTGGTTGTTAAACCCGACCTCGAGCATGATCTCGGCAATTTCGAATTCAAGCTGAGATTTGAATGGATGCCAAGGTTGTCCATCAGGCGGGGGGACCAGGAAGTCTGCGGCATGATGCTCAAAGTTATCGAATCCATATACTTTGGTCTCAATGTTACTGTTCAGATGATATTCGATTTTAATGTCGTCTTGATTGAAGGTGGGGACTGCATCCACGAGTTCAGGTTCATTAAGTACAGAAGGGTCTGTATTCAATAGGGTACATAGTCTAAGTGTTAGTGAGATCAACTAAATGCTTGTGTGTCAACTCACCAATCACCGGATCAACATGATCAAAGTCCACATCGAAGAATTCTGCGTGATTTTGCATTTCAACTGTGAGTTTGTGAGCACAGTAGATAGCACAACAAAAACAGAATACTGCATACTTGGTACAGGCCCGGGGATATGAATTACTGATTTATCAAGTCTCACTGAGGAACCTGACGCTGCTATCAGGTATTTGATAACAATTAAAACATCAGCTTCGACAATACATCGAGACAAAGATAAAACAGACGCACCTTTCTCCTTACGAATCACATCTACAACCACCTGATCCCGGCGCCTTTTATCTGCCTTCGTCTCGCAAGCTTTTCGGTGGGTGGTCCACCCTTGTGGCTTGATATCCTGGCCGCATAAATCACAATATTTCGTGTGCTCCGGGCCCATGTAGTTGACAAAAGTATCACAGTTGTATACAAACAGAATTGAGCTGGGGAAATAAAGCAAGGAATGCACTGGAATGCGAAGAGCATGTTGTAGGCGTTGATAACAAGTGCGTCCATATGCCTAAGGTACTTGCAATATATTGAAACTCAGCCATCAGATTACCTTATCATTTCAGGGGGCATTTCAACTGATTACAATGACATGCAAATAGCGTGTCAACATCACGTCATTGCAACCACTTTCGTAAATTTCCGACATCACTGATTGTTCGCACGATAGGCTAGCATTGCGGTCTGTTGTGAAGTTGATTGATATGCTCACTTCTATACAAATGTTCCCGACGCCTCGACCAGACTCCTAAATAAATTGCTGCAGCGATGATAAAAGACCTCAGGCTCAGCGCTCAGGCCTTATGTCATTCGACTGGCGTACATTTTATATAAACGTCTTCAGCCATCATCGAAGTAGGTGTACACGGTATACTAACGTTGAAGATCATTCGGAAAGGGGCTACAAACGGACCCGTGGGAATGTTTCACGAATTGAATCAACTCGTTCCGAGTCGCTCAGCATACTCATCTGTCTCTCTATAATTAATGGTTTTTGAATGTTCGCCTTTGCTACCGTGTACACCTTCTCCTGTTGGCTGACTCGCAGCTCATATGTGACATTTGGTTTAGTCATTTTCCTTTCTGACTGCCTCACACTTCGCCTGATTCGCGCTACATTTTGGCTATTTTGGAGTTTGAATAGTATTGGCTTGTCCATCCTTCAAGTACTACCACCCACGCAAGTTTCAACGTAAGAAACTTGCTCATAAAGAAGACAGACGCGTGGAGGTTATTGCTGCTTCTGGGGAGGTCATTGCGCGTCAACGAGCCTGGCCAGTCCGTGACAGAAGGTGACGGGAGATAACAACATCGCCGAGGGAGTGGCCGACACATTAGAGGCACGAGAAGTGATGGACGAGTTGTCAAGGACGCATTACGCAACTCCACTGGCGGCCTTTGCTTTTGACGGTGCAATAATCGGGCCAGGAGGATACGGTCGACACCTCAAAGGCGCTCTAGTGCAGGTGCACTTCACACTAAGACATCCCAAGGGCAAAAGAATGAACACGTTCAGAGCCAAAATCACAGCCATAAGAGTGCTAGCACCACCCCCACGAATCATGGAAGGAAACCCGCTGATGTATAGTACGAACGAACGACAGAGGGAATTAATGATGGTACAGGAATTGAACTGAAGGTGGGAGGAAGGACGGTTGGTGATTAGGGATATATCTCACAATGCAAACATGGGATACAGGATCAAGTAGACAAGCAGATCAGATTGGTCAGGGTAGTTATAGGAATAGGCACTGCTGGCAAAGCGTCGGGAAGGAGACTAGATATGAATGCAGGATTGATGCCGACTCGGAAATTGGCTCTGTAAGGAGTTTGGGAACTCGTCAAGCGGCGCTACGATCTAATTAGATCAGATACGTGGGAACTACAGGTATTTGTATTATAAAGCATGCATGGCCAGGTGCCACCGGCGCTGGCACAAATCGTCGACGCGTCAAGTGCAGCGTGAGGTCGCATCAAAATTGGTCGAGTCCGATAACGTGGTCCAGTGATGCTTCTTTTTCTTAGTTCCCGGCCGCAAGTTGTACCTTGTTCAAGGAGGTTCAAGGTTGGGACAACTTGTGCCGTTCAACTTTGGGCTACTGGACCGACACATCGAGTCGGGATTCGGAATATCCATTGAAATTATGTGGGTTGTCCACAGGTCACCGATAGTGACCGTAATTTCAATGGAGCCTCAACGATATTCCGAATCCCAGCTCGATTCATTTGCATGTGTGAGTCGGAAGATCGAAGCCTCAGGCTTCGCGAACCTCGGCAGGTTTCGGACAACTCATCTATACCCTTATTACACACAAATGTGATATGAAGTTACGAACCCATCTTTGTCCATTCTCTTTTAACGCTGTCCGTCCTTCAAATCCACCCGCTACCTTCGTCAACGAGACCCTCACAAGATGACAAAAATGGCAGAGCCGTCATCTCCTGCAGTCGAGGAGGCCAACAAGAGGTCAGGTGCATCGTGGAAAACAGCCGAGGAGCATGTCATCCCAAAAAACCCGCATGGGCATTGTGTTCTTTGGCTTGATGTGTACCATCTTCTTGGTGGCTCTAGATCAAGTATGTAATTGTGTTATTTTATTCATGAATATCCGACTCACACACCACGAGACTATCGTTGCCACCCGCCTTGCCCACAATTGTAGCTGAACTTGGAGGAGGTAAGAACTATAGTTGGGTGGGAAGGTACGTATATGTTACATATGGTGTTATTATGTGGTACTATTTTCATACAGTGCTTACATGTTGGTGTGCGCCTCGTTGAGCCCGCTATATGGCAAGCTATCCGACATTTTAGGCGAGTGCTCTTTGAGTGGCCGTGGAGTATTGCTTGGGAATCAACTTATGAGTCATGACTGGGATCTGCAGGCCGCAAACCCGTGCTATATGGATGCATCCTCATGTTTTTGGTACGTTATTGCTAGCGCGCGCGTCCGATCTGGCTCTGACCTCAGACTAGATTGGTTCAGCGCTGTGTGGTGCAGCTCAGAGTATGACATGGTTGATTGTCTCTCGTGCCTTGCAGGGAATTGGCGGGTGGCATCTTCCAACTCGTGCAGATCACTATATCCGACATTGTTCCATTGCAAGAGTGAATATGTGTTACCAACACCGGGTCATTATTGATCACATTTATTTTCCAGGCGAGGCAAGTATGTTGGCTTCGTTGGTGCCACTTGGGGAATAGCAAGGTAAGGCTAAATAAAACGCGCCCGTCAAGCCTCCAAAACTTGAAACTTATTTATTTCTTAGTGTTATCGGACCGTTAATCGGCGGCGTGAGGTCTCCCATCCTTTGAAGAGATCTGATAATTGATATTTTGTGCTACAGATTTTGACTGATCATGTATCTTGGAGATGGTGAGTTTGCGTGTGCTATTTGTTGACCGAAGGTTCACGGTCGACGCTTATTAGGTGCTTCTGGATTAATTTGTGCGCTTGATGTTTCTAATATTTGCCCCGAGATCAGAAACTTATTACTTATGGACAGACCGACTGGCGGCTTGGCTGGGGTACTTCTGTTCTTTTTCCTAAATTTAAATCCGCACCAAGGAAGACCGTTCCGCGACCATGTCCGGGAATTCGATTTTGTTGGGCTTTTTGTGATCATTATAGGTGTTGTTTGTCTTCTTATTGGTCTCAACTCGAGCGAAACGACGTGTAATTTCATCCTCCTGCTCTACAGAAGTGAAGTTTATTGTTATTTTCTTTTAGGGAAAAACCCCGAAACCATTGCACTCCTCGCTGTGGGAGGCACATTGCTCATTATCGGTGGGATTAATGAAATTTTCACGAAAAAGTCCCCCATTATCCCTCCTCGTCTTTTCAAGGCGAGTCGTTGAGAAAGCTGCCCATATTTATATCGTCTCTTATGGTTTTTCCAGACGCGTACGACGGGCTTGACATTAGTTTCTGTCTTCTTGCATGCTGTGATATTCTTTGCAGGTGTGTCATTTACGCAAATCTGTCTCGGGAGTAGCAATCATTTATATCACTACTCCAGTGTTCTTTGTGAGTACTTTTGTAGATAGACCTTATACCTGACATCATCATTGGTTTTCTAGCTACCTTCCAATGTACTTACCAAGGTAGGCCTGTCTTAAAGCCTTCGTATCTGCATTTTCCTGACCTCCACACAAGTTCTTGGCGCATCTGCAACGGGATCTGGTCGTCAGGTGAGTATTAGATCCATGTATCGTTGTTCTTCTCTATCGCTGATATGGGCAGAATGCTTCCTTTCTCGTTATGCTCTTCGATCACGGCATCAGTTAGTGGAATCATCGTGGCTCGCACAGGGTCCTACCGCCCTATGATGTGGTTCGGATGGTCTGTCATGACGCTTGGTTGGGGCCTCATGATCATGCTGGATAATACGACCACTATGTACGTATTTATTCAGTGTCGAAGCCACGCGGGTCGTCATAGCTTTTTATTCAGGTGCAGCGCAGGAAGTCTAACCCCCTTATTGCTTCCCTCGGTATCGGTTGCGTGTTCCAGGTGAGTTTACCACACCATAACGATGCACGCTCATCATCGCCTCTGTGATAGACCCCGCTTATTGCCATACAAGCAGCCATGCCTCTTAAGGATATGGCTTACCAGTACAGGCGCTTTTATGTTCCTCCGGTGAGTGTGACTTTACGATTTGTTTTTCATAGGCACTTATCGGTCTTGAGAACTCTTGGGAGTACGGTGGGCATGACGATCGGGGAAACTATCATCTCCAGTGTTCTCCCGCAGAAACTGAAAGGCATCAAAGGTCTCACAATCGACACATCTGCCGCGGCTTTGAATGGTAACATCAAGTGGATTTCTTCCATTTCTGTAAGCACACTTCCATGGTCTCGGTTCTGGCTTAACGATCAGTCCCACCAGAAACCCAACAGTACGTAACGAGGTCATGCACGCTTACACGCGGTCTATCAGCACGATTTTGGTTGGTCAGCACGCCGCTATCTGGATTCGGTTTCTTTCTAGTTTCTCTTTATTCGTGCTACTCGCTCAAGCGTACGGTCATCCGCGGCGGCGAGAATAAGCTGGAGACGCTGAGACTGGTGCTGATCAAGCGGCGGATGCAGACGACTTGACAGCCAGTAAGAGTTGGAGACCTTGGAGACCTTGGAGACTTTGGAGATGCATAAGAAACCAGCTTTCATTGGTGATGCCACTAGATCCACTGACTCATTTGACGATATTGGCAAGCGGAGGATAGAAGCAGAGGATGAGGGAAAAGATTTTTTCCCCATATCTCGGACATTAAGGTGTGACGAAACCCGATCATGCTTCAAAGCGTCATACTATATGGAGATCGAGACGTGGAAGGATGTCTGGGTAAATGGCTTGCGGCGTGTCATTTCAATTGATACAATGGATTCGGAACAGGCTCCATTCAAGCGATAAACAGGTATCTTCAGAACCATATTCTCTATGTAGAAGTTGGACAATTCACCTTGGTCAGAGCGGGACCGATATCGTAAGGGTCAGACTCACCAGACATACGACTGTATTCTGTAGAAAACGAAGAACTGTTAATGGCATCCGATAATCGTGGATACCGTGGAACTTGCAAAGCCTCGATTAAAGGCGATTGAAAAGCTTGCCACAAAGTGTGCACAAGAAACACCATATGATAGATACAAAAGGCAGCTGCAAGTTGCAGCGATATCATGACAGGGTGGCACGATGTAGATTTTGGAGAGAAGTAGCTTACATTGTAGAGTCTCTATCGGCGCGACATTGACAGGCCAACTTCCCCAACTCCCCACCGCAAAGATTATGAACAGACTAAAACGCCAATGCACTTTCTTACCCCAATAAAGATGCATTGGTTGCTGATTTTGCGGGCAAACCACTCAACGCTCTGAGAACGCCCGCCGCCTTCGTTGTGGGACCGCGCGGTGTTCACAGAGAACTGCGCGAGATGCACGAGAATGCGAGAGGCTGGGGAGCATCTTATAGGGGGACACTTGAAGACACAAGGTAGGAGAGGTCAAGCACGAAATGAAATTCACTGTGATAACTTCTATCAGACAGTCGAAGGAACGAAACTGCAGCTAGTTTCAGAAGCCCTGCGCTCGTTGTATCGACACTCATGGAAGCTTGGGGAGTCGTGCAAGGTGGTCTCGTAGCCGACGGTACAGTCAAAGATGTCAGTCCAGAAGCATGTAAAATTGTTCCGACTCTCACCTATTGTCAGATGCTGTACGGTCTTCCAGTTGGATTGAACGATCTGTCTGCCCTGCATGCTGAGACGACAAGATATGGAGTAACTGTTCGTATTCTCTTGGATCATTTAGATCAAGTGAAATTTCTGGAGGAATACGAGAGGGCGCAAGAACACCCGAAGAAATGGACTGCGTTTATCAAAATGAACGCTGGTCTATAGTATGTTCTCTGAATACTACCATGATAGATCACTCACAAACTTCCAGAGCCTCTTTCAAAGCATTCATGAGGAGGGTGTTTGCACCTCCGGCAATTTCGGTGTTCGGATTTTACACCTACGTCGGATACTCGTATGGAGTGACGTCTCTGGAGGAAGCTATCTCGTATTTAACAGGGGAAGTCCGTCTTACCAATGACGCAGCGGCCATTAGGCTCGTGACCAGCCTGGCGTATACTACCACGGATACTCAAGTGGTACGTCAAAAAATTCTCACCGTCTCAAATTGACGCAGTCAGACTGATTACGAGTCTAAGCGGCCATGGCCATGGAAGTTCTGGCAGAGTCGGATAACAGAGAGGTCAACAATCAAGCCATTCGTCCTCTCCGTGGGACCCACTCCGACTGCTCTTGGCGCAACCGCGGAAGCAAAGCTGAAGATGGCATCTACACTCAATGGAACACTGTAACTCCATACAGATAAGCGAATTTCATCAGGAAGGGATTTAGCGTGGTATAAATCGATTCGTACAGAAATTACACCATGCTCGATCTCCAGCAGCTACACACAAACATTGATTGGTCGTCCGCAAATCTCCCAGAAGGTTTTAGCCACCGTTATTTTCATACTGCCCCGGAAAAGGATATGACAGGCAAAGACGAAGCCATATGTGATGCTGGTCCGACCCTGAGGCCATAATTATGAGTAGACACGGGTCGTATTCCAGGGTTCGGACTCCGGAGAGGTTTTTGGCAGTCATGTAAGTTAAAAAGAACTTCGCAGGAGCACGGGATATTGGTACAAGACCCAGAGTCAGGTCGCACAAATCTTACGTTGAAGATCAGAGGTAAGTACTGTCGAGATTGTTGGGTGGTTATGTCTGATAGTACCCGTGGTACTATATCGTCGATTCGGATGAAGGAAGTGACAAAGTGGTTGACATCTGGGTCCCATGGAAGGGCTGATAGTACTAGACTTGCATATATGTACGACCGATTACTGTGTCACAGGTATGTAGTGGATGACGAAGAACGATGAACGATTTCCATTGGCTGACTATGCTACCTGTCGGGTGACGTAATCCGCAAGCTGAGTTCCGAATTTGTTCGTCGAGTTCTTCATGAAGCATTCAAACAACGGAATTGTATCTACGCTCCGCACGGCGTCTGTGCGCCGATAACGCTTCTATCTGGCTAACTTATGCTGGGCTCGTGACCAGCCCCTCTGAGGCAAGCCGTCGATAGAGGGACTGGTCAGACCGTCGAACTGGGTTTGAATTTGGATACTGAGCGGATTCCCAGGGTAACGTGATGTCTGCCCAATGAGAAAACGAGTGTTTTCCAACGTGTCATATAGAATACAAAATTAATATTATCATTTTATGCGACGCGACACGTCCTTCTACCGCAAATCAATGGACCCAGCAATCTCTCATACAAGGAATTCATGCTGCCAGATCACTGGATGTGCTGGATTGTTCTCTGATATCCCTGAAAAGGATTATCCGTCACGTTACCCTGGGAATCCGCTCAGTATCCAAATTCAAACCCAGTTCTAGCAGTCCCTCTATCGACGGTTTGCCTCATACAGGGGCTGCGGTTTCTGGTAACCTGTTGTCATTCGGACCTTTCTCGGTTCCTTCGAACGACTTCAAACCCTGAGCAAACAAAGTCCAGACACCCTCACGTCATTCACAATGAAAAGACCCCAGACTCTGCCCAATATCTTCGCTTCAAGTTAATGTTGCAGCCATCACCGAGCAGTATAAGCCTCAGCGTCAGCCGGGTATCCCCACTTCCCGCACGCTGACTCCCGCCCACCACCACCCCACACTACCGTCTGTTCTTCGTTAACATATCTCCTTCGTTACTTGACGCTGACGTGGCAGTTAAACTTCGTTAGGATGTTGTATTATTTGTATCTTAGCATACAGCACATCAATGAATACAATTATATGATGGATAATCTTATATAAGGGCGCGTGTCCAACTACCGTAGCATAATAAGTGCGCCTTGAGTCCTGGAGCAAGACGAGGGCAGCGAAAGTTACGGAAGAATGAAGTCTGGTGCGATGAAGTGCATATGCGATAAAATGGGGGGATTTTACTTTGCGAGTTAGAAGAAGGGGAGGGGTACTCTAGACAAGCAAAAAGATGGATAATGAAGAGCATACAGCCGCGTCACAAGCCTGTTCATGGCCGTAAAATGCATCAGAGTGTCTTGTTGTAGGTTGAGTAGAATGAGGTTTGGGTGGCGCCTAGGCTATCATCATCCACATCATGATAGTGCAACCGTCGAGAGTGCTGAACTGTGAGACGGGAACATCGGCGAGGGGGAGTGGAACTCGCTAGTCACGAGTGCAATGATATGATTGTGTATAGTATGCCACGGCCATAAACACGGCTCCGGTACTCCTCTAATATCTGGTTGAAGGGCATTAACAAGTGTGTAGGATGGCACTGGCGTGAATGATGCGGTTATTCAGGGCGCTGGTTGCTGCAGTGCATCACGATGTGTGGTGTAATGTTGGGAATTGCAGCGCTGGTGTTCGTTTTGTGCCGCTGAATTTTGCGTGACATGACGGCGCTGCAATAGGGCTAAATCATCGTTGAAATTTGAATGGCGTGAGTGAAGATGCATACCTCGACGAGTGACACTTCTCGATGCACGGTAGGTATGAGTGGAATCACGATCACGAGTGCCAATGCCCAGTGACAATATCCGAATGCTCTGCGCTGCTCGGTCGTCAAAACCCCGTCCTCTCAAGCCTTTCCCGTACTTCGAAGGTTATTGCGGTACTCCAAGTTCAGCAGTGGTCCGTAATGTCGTCGAGTCACAGGTAATACCGTAATAGTATTCTCTGTGAGTATTTGAACTCTGTTAACACAAACGCTACCATAGCTGCGCATGTGCCGGCGCCGCTGGTGCGTCAACAACTCCGCCGCGCATCTGACTGGCGAGTAGGACAGAGCAGGAGATACTGCACTCACTCGCAGAGGGCAGAGGTATCACCCAGTATGACAGTATTGGGTTGCTGGAGTCATACAGAAGCTGTAGCCTGTCAACGATGTTTACAGCGAGTGCGTTGCGGACCCACATCCCAATCAGGCTGCTCGGAGAGTTGAATGTTTTATATATATTAACGAGTCTGCATTTGATACAAAGTGTTAATAAAGGAGAGCTAATACACTAAAAATACAAAAAGTTAACATGTTGAAGATGTGACGAGGAGAAGATCGAACCGACAAGGCTGAACTTAAAAGTAGGAGAGGCACGCATGCGGGGAAGTTGAAACCGTCATATGCTGCTCGCCAGTGACGGCTACGACATTGAGTTGAAGCGAAGATGTTGAGCGGAGTCTGGGGTCTTTTTATTGTGAATGACGTAAGGGTGTCTGGACTTTGTTGGCTCAGGGTTTGAAGTCGTTCGAAGGAACGGAGAAAGGTCCGAATGATAACTATTAACAGGTTACCATGAACTCTTGGAGAAACTCGAAAGAACCGAGTAAAGTCCGACTGATAACAGGGCACCATGAGCTCTAAAATGTCGAAACCCCCCGCTGTGTAACCATCTAGCGAGTGGAGATGCCCAGTCTAACATTGCCCGAGTGTGGACGCTATATCCCGCCTCCGGTCACAGATGAGGACTGTGAGGAAGTATCTAATTAATATAGTATGTCTAGTAGCTAACGACTCAGCGTATAGTAGAATTTGCGGACCTGGCTATCGTCGATATTTCCAAGGCCCATACACCGGAAGGACGGGCAGAGCTCTATCCACAACTTCGAGATGCACTGCGCACCTACGGCTTTGTTTATGCTATAAATCATGGTTATGATCAGGCTCAGGTGAGTTCATTCCCGTACCTCATACTAAGGGTTCTGAAGAACTGTTGTAGCGCGATAGGATCTTTGACATAGCTAATGTCCCTTTCTCTGTTGTCCCCCCGGATGAAATGAAGACATACACCGCAAACATCGAGAAAGTCGGGTACTATGCAGGTTTTAAAGGTCGTCAATTCTGGGTGTGTTATATTCCAGCAAGGAATATATATGAAACTGACCCTTACCGCTCAATGATCAGAAAATCGACACGGAGAATAATGTTCTCGATCAGATTGAGCAGTACGGAAGTAGGTGCTACAATTTTCTGTGTGATAGGTGTCCCACACACTTTCGACAGTTAACAAGGACGTCACAAGGCGTCCGCACCCTCAGGCCTTGCGTCCGTACCTCCCAGAAATCGATGCCTTCGTCCGACATAATCACTTCAATGTTATCCATCCAATCCTTCGGTTAGTTTCTTCGCGAGCCCCTTCTTGATGCTCTATCTCACGAGCGACCTCACGCAGCTTGATCGCTTTGAGCCTCGAGTTGCCCGAGGAGACTTTAGTAGAAAAACACAACTTTAACGGCACGGGAGAATCATGTGGTTGGTCTTGCTCTACTATATCAAATTCTGCATTAATGAGCAACTGTGCAGTCAGATTTATGAAATAGTAAGTGATCCTTAATCGTAGCCGCTTGTTAACCTGATCGATATTTCTAAAGTTACAGGCGCACGAAGGAAGAGGAGGACAAATCCAACAATGTCTGGTTGAAAGGACACACAGGTATAATTTATGTTACCATTTGTCCTTATATGCCCCTCAACCATGCAGACTTTGGCAGCCTTGCCGTCCTGTGGAGCCAACCTGTCGGAGGCCTGCAAATTAAGGCTCCCGACGGCAGATGGAAATGGGTCCGCCACATCGAGAACGCTTTGGTACGCAAATGAGCGAACCGCTGTAACAATCACAAACTCAACATTCCGTCCTCAGGTCATCAACACAGGCGACATGATGGATTTCTTCAGTGGTGGTTTCTATAAGCCTACGATTCATCGCGTCGTCCAGCCTCCTGAAGATCAGCGCAACTACGACCGTCTGGGCGTATTCTTCTTCTCGGTGCCAGATGACGATGTTCGCTTACTGCCGTGTGTTGAGAGCCCCGTGCTCCACCACTTCGGCATCCAGCGCCGGTGCCCTGATGAGGATGCCCCACTGTGCGAGGCGTGGAGAAATGGAAGGACAACGACGTATGGTAGGTCTGATCTCAAGAAAGGAATGGAGCACAATGTCGAAGAAGAGGTCATTGAGGGTATAGTGGTGAAACATTACAACTAAGGAGCCCATATACGCATGTCTCTCGAAATAGGTATGATGTGTACGATATTGATCAGCGAATTTTGAAACCCAATAACCATTTGGAAAGAGGCCGCAGCGCTGGTATGGGTACAAACGACATTTCTGCTTATGTTTATGAGACATGGCGCTAAAAATCGCAACAAACATCACACTCCACGAGCTTCAAGACGACTGCGGAAGAGCTTCTGGAACTGCGATGCGTGATCAATATCCATGAGCGTGTTGTGCTCCCCAGGCACGTCAGTAAATGTTGCGTCGCTGCGGCTGAAACCAGTCCATGGCTTGAGCTCAAAGTTGAACCCGCTAACCTTATCATCCGGGCCGCGAGGCTGCGGCATAGAAAACATCGATGCCCGCTGAACAGAGACAGGGCAATGTGAACAAGCAGTATTGAAGTCGGGAAATGAATGCTTACGAGCTGTACCCGACGGGCTGTATCCCTTTCCACAGCACATGAGAGACACAGACACTTCTACCCAGTGTTCGAGAATTTCAGGTGTCAACTGGAGCTCGGCGAGACGTTCAGGAGGCGACATCTTCCACACGATCTCAAGCCTCTCCTTCTGCGTGAGCGGTTTAAAAGTAGGCCCCATACTTTCAGAATCCTGCTTCGACAAAAGACCGAGGAAGAACGACACGTTAATTGAATAATCAAAGTTCAAGCTGCAAATTCGATCTTTGGGTCCGGAGGACACTGTGAAATAGTTTGAGTCGTGAAACGATACTTGAGTTTCAGTCCGGCCAGTAAAAGTGTTCTACTGGGCAGCAAAACGATCGAGTATTTAATGGAGATGGAAATGTTTAAAAATAATGCTTGGAATAGAATGGGCAATTAGTTGCAGATATTCAAAGCTCGCCGGATGGTGGTTGAATGCAGTCAAGTTGACAGGATCCGCAGGCGCTTGTCTGGCTGCACTGGTATACTCGAGGTTGGGGCCGGAGGTTATGAATTAAGTTATTAGTCATGTCCATGTGTTGCCATTAGCTAATAGCGAGGCACGAGCGGAGGAAATAGAATACTCACATGTAGCTCAAAACCTCCTTGGGCCCTGCAGGCCTGAAGCTTAGCTTCATGCTCTGCACGCCATGCGCCTGTTCGTCGATAACGCTTCTATCTGGCTAACTTATGCACGCATCTCGGTATTACCTTGGAAATGTACCTTCGATCAATCCACCAAGCGAAGTCTCAGCTTACAGGCAGTGAAAACTAAAATTGCGCACAAGTGGCATATTGCGAGCATTCGTTTGGCAGCGCAAATTTGGGGAAGTTACTAACTTACAGGCGTATCATCAAATCAACGGTCGGAAAAGCCCAACGCTCTTGATTTACCCATGCATGTGACAACATCTCCATCCACGTTCTTGCCAGTGATTCTGTGCTTGTGATATGTTTCAAATCTGCTCAATGAACTCACGAGATACTTCCTATATGGGGGAGTACTAGTACTAGTACACCGTGCCACTTTCGGCTACAACTTGAACATTCCTGGTCGGTCACAGTACCATATATCTATTTCTGATGCCTTATCTCAACGTGGATCGATTCTATCCTGTCTTTGAGAAGTGGCAATGGGCCCCGTGCTCTTCCGGTCCCAGGTCCTCCTTTCTCTCATAACCATCTAGCGAGTGGAAATGCCCAGCCTAACATTGCCCGAGTGTGGACACTATATCCCGCCTCCGGCCACAGATGAGGACTGTGAGGAAGTATCTAATTGATATAGTATGTTTAGTAGCTAACGACTCAGCGTGTAGTAGAGTTTGCGGACTTGGCTATCATCGATCTTTCCAAGGCCCATACACCGGAAGGACGGGCAGAGCTCTATCCACAACTTCGAGATGCACTGCGCACCTACGGCTTTGTTTATGCTATAAATCATGGTTATGATCAGGCTCAGGTGGGTTCGTGCCTGTAGCTCATACAAAGGGTTCTGAAGAACTGTTGTAGCGCGATAGGATCTTTGACATAGCTAATGTCCCTTTCTCTGTTGTCCCTCCGGATGAAATGAAGACATACACCGCAAACATCGAGAAAGTCGGGTACTATGCAGGTTTCAAGGGTCGTCAATACTGGGTGTGTCATATTCCAGCAAGGAATGTATATGAAACTGATCCTTATCGCTCAACGATCAGAAAGTCGACACGGAGAACAATGTTCTCGATCAGATTGAGCACTATGGAAGTAGGTGCTACAACTTTCTGCGTGATAGGTGTCTCCTACACTTTCGACAGTTAACAAGGACGTCACAAGGCGTCCGCACCCTCAGGCCTTGCGTCCGTTCCTCCCAGAAATCGATGCCTTCGCCCAACATAATCACTTCAATGTTATCCATCCAATCCTTCGGTTAGTTTCTTCGCGAGCCCCTTCTTGATGCTCTATCTCACGAGCGGTGTCATGCAGCTTGATCGCTTTGAGCCTCGAGTTGCCCGAGGAGACTTTAGTAGAAAAACACAACTTTAACGGCACGGGAGAATCATGTGGTTGGTCTTGTTCTACTATATCAAATTCTGCATTAATCGGCAACTGTGCAGTCAGATTTATGAAATAGTAAGTGACCCTTAATCGTAGCCGCTTGTTAACCTGATCGATATTTCTAAAGTTACAGGCGCACGAAGGAAGAGGAGGACAAATCCAAAAACGTCTGGTTGAAAGGACATACAGGTATAATTTATTTTACTATTTGTCCTTATATGCCCCTCAACCATGCAGACGTTGGCAGCATTACCGTCCTGTGGAGCCAACCTGTCGGAGGCCTGCAAATTCAGGCTCCCGACGGCAGGTGGAAATGGGTCCGCCACATCGAGAACGCTTTGGTACGCAAATGAGCGAATCGCTGTAAGAATCACAAACTCAACATTCCATCCTCAGGTCATCAACACAGGCGATATGATGGATTTCTTCAGTGGTGGTTACTATAAGCCCACGATTCATCGCGTCGTCCAGCCTCCTGAAGATCAGCGCAACTACGATCGTCTGGGCGTATTCTTCTTCTCGATGCCAGATGACAATGTTCGCTTACTGCCGTGTGTTGAGAGCCCCGTGCTCCACCACTTCGGCATCCAGCGCCGGTGCGCTGACGAGGACGCCCCACTGTGCGAGGCGTGGAGGAAGGGAAGGACAACGATGTATGGTAGGTCTGATCTCAAGAAAGGAATGGAGCACAATGTCGAAGAAGAGGTCATCGAGGGTATAGTGGTGAAACATTACAACTAAGGAGTCGCAGACTGCCCATATACGCATGCTCTCGAAATAGGTAGGATGTACGATGTTGAACAGTGAATTTGAAACCCAATAACCATTTGGAAAAAGGCGGCAGTGGTGGTACGGGTATTAACAATGTTTCTACATATGTTTAGTAGCCATGTCGCCAAAAAGCGCAACAAAGTTTACACTCCACGAGCCTCAAGGCGACTGCGGAAGAGCTTCTGGAACTGCGAGGCGTGATCAATGTCCACGAGCGTGTTGTGCTCCCCGGGCACGTCAGTAAATGTTGCGTCACTGCGGCTGAAACCAGTCCATGGCTTGAGCTCATTGAGCCGGTTAACCTTGTCATCCGGGCCGCGAGGCGGGACGGCATAGAAAACATCGATAGCCGCTGAACAGAGACATGGCAATGTAGCAGTATTGAAGTCGGGAAATGACTTACGAGCTGCACCCGACGGGCTGTATCCCTTTCCACAGCGCATGAGAGACACAGAGACTTCTACCCAGTGTTCGAGAATTTCAGGTGTCAACTGGAGCTCGGCGAGACGTTCAGGAGGCGACATCTTCCATACGATCTCAAGCCTCTCCTTCTGCGTGAGCGGTTGAAAAGTAGGCCCCATACTTTCAGAATCCTGCTTCGACAAAAGACCGAGGAAGAACGACACGTTAAGCTTGCAGATGAGTTCGATGTTGTGCATGTGTTGGGCGATATAAGGAGGGACGTTGACAAGACCGAGAAACCTGACTTCTTCACCCATGGCCTCCAGGCGTTTAACCACCTCGAAGGCCATCAACCACCGTAGCAGTAGCCAGCGATGGCATATGGTCCCGCCGGCTGGATCCTCCTGATACTTGCAGTATAAGAGGAAACCATCTCGTCCATGGACGTGAAGAAGGGCTGACCACGCTCGAAGCCACGAGCACGGAGTCCGTAGAAGGGGCGCTCATTCTGGAAGTACTTGGCGAGATTGAGGAAAACAAGAACCTCTCCAACTCCGGGGTGCACGAAGAAGACAGGCGTCTTGTCTCCGGTGACTTGGAGGGGAACAGCGGGGTCGTATTCCTCAGCATTACTGTCTTTGAAAAGCAAGGAGTCGACATAGCTGGCCAGGCTCGAGACATCGGGGTGCTTCAAAATTTGTATGGCGGGGATTTCAGGCAGGCCAAAGTACGCCTCTCCACGATTCGTGGCAAAGAGCTTCATGGGCGCGTCTGCTTCATCGAGGTCGAAAGATGACGAGTAGAAAATGACGAACCCTTCAGTTTTATGGCCAGAAACACGGTAGGGAGCAGCAGCGAGGAAGGAGTGTGTGACGCCTTCAAAAGTCTGCAGATGAGTTTCAAGCTCGGAGATACCATATGTGACACCATGGATGATGACAGTGTCCTTGATCCGCCCGATAAGGCGCATGACTCTGCACCTGATCTCCATATGTTGGCATGATGTCTGCGAGGTGATGACAGACGATATGTCAGAGTCCATATGTTTTTCATACTTCCGTAGCACAATTCAATTGTTTGTTTGTTTGTTTGTTTGTTTTCTTTCGTGTATCACCAACGAGGCTTGAAACAGACAGAAGGCCATGCAGGCCATGCATTGACGAGTATGGTAAATACAACACAGTCAAAAAACAGACATCAACAGCAAGGCAAGTCAGATATGAGGCTCAATATCAAGATACATAATGATGCAGTGTACAAGACAGTCCAACGAATGCAGCCAAATGGAGGATTTCAAAGGTCCATCTGATCATCAGAATAATCAGGCCCGTGCGGGTAGTGATACCCTCCCCTTTCATGATAATATGGGTTGCTGGAAGGGTGCCAATAATCTTCACGGTAGCGACCATCATAATATCCACCGCCGTGATGGTGGTTTTCATCATACTGCTGAGGGGGCTGAGACCTGTGAGGAGGTTGAGACCCGCGAGGAGGCTGTGGCACATGAGGAGGCTGGGGGAGATGGGGGGGCGGAGGCCCATGCTGCATGTGTTGATCATCATAACCGCGCTCGTAATCAGATGGTGGATAGCGAGGGAACCCACGGCCAGGACCCTGAGGATGATTTTCCCCATAGGGAGGATCGTTCCACGTTGACTGGTAACGTGGCTCCATACGCGATCCCTGGCGCGGGGGCCATACATGCGACCACCAGCTTGAACAACGTCCGGTCCCAGATCAGCATCACGGGAGGGCTCAGTGGCCAAATCTCCTTGCTGAACCAGCGCATGATCAGCTTCTCCATGTCGCTCGTCATTGGGTAAGGCTGGAGTGGGAGCAACATCGTCACTTGGAGCAGTTGCGGCAGGGACAACTTGGTCCGTAAGCATGCGGGAAGGCTGGCGACGCATTGGTGAGGGTGACAGTGGTGCCTCAGACTGTGGAGGGAGCCTGTCGGCGAGCTCAGCATGGTCTGCAGCAGCATTGGCAGCGAGCTCAGTGTGGCCTGAAACAGTGTTCTCATTGGTAGAGTTGGCCTGCTTGCATGCTACAAGGGGCTTGACTGCAGGCTTGACTGGACGGGGCTTTGGGTGCTCTAAATATATGGTCAATCCACCAGTGAGAGGATAATGAATCAGCACAATACCTTTGATACCTTTGAGTTCAGGTGGGCCATCGTGCAGGTGTTTAGCAGCGTCACCAGGCACTTCATCGTCTGAGGACTCGATGGTCCTTGGCTTCCCTACCTTCTCGTTTTGCCCCTTGGCTCTCATGGGTGCCTTGCCTTTATGTACCTTAGGTGCAGACGCCTCAGGAGACGAAGCCCTCTTTTTGGCCCCTTGCGAGCTACCCTCTGACTTTGCCTTCCACTTCTTGGACGTAGCCTTCTCCTCATAGTCGGACTCGCTTTAGTGGTGCCATCCTCCGAACCAGATTGAGCATTGCTAGACATAAGTGAGATAACTTCCTTCTTCTTCACGACCTCCTTCTGTTCCTTTGGGAGCTGCACGACCTTGAATTCACGAGAGGGGGGAGGCCTACCAATCTTGGTGATGGCCTTACTAGGCTTCTTGCGAGCAAGTCCCTTGCAATCAGACTGTCCATTGGCAAAAAGACGACGTCCTGATGTATGGAGAGAATCCGCTGGGGGACGTGCGCCCTCCACCACTGGGAGCTCAGAAGTGAGAATCATAGCTGTAGGTAAATGTGCTTAGATATCAGAATGCAGCAATAAAATAAGTTGAAGATCTACCTTGCTGATCCTCCGAAACCTTCTTCAAGCACATGGTGCCTGCCTTTAATGCTGCGATGACCTCACCGACCTCCTTCAGAGTGAGATTGGCAATGCCTTTACTCCTTGAAGCATGGTATTCCCCAGGAAGTAACACGCCCTCAGGGTAGCCCATTATCATCATCCCCTGACATGTGAGCTCCGCTGGGAGGGTATTCCATGGGAACTTCTTTGATGATAGGAATTTGCCACCCAGGCTCACTGTCCCTCCTCATCAATGCAAATAAAAGCAGGAGGATATACTAACACGTACTGAGTTGGTGACAGATCTCTGCCTTGATCCACTTTGTTCCATCCTTGGATATATTGATGGTGTCAGATAGAGCGATTGATGCGTCACGCTCGTTGTGCACGTCTGGCTGGGTAACGCTGTTGTTTCCTGGGAAGGCTTCCTCAACAATGGCAAGTGACGTCAAATTACTAGATATGGGCAGCTCAGTCACTAGCAAGATCCCTGAAGGATATGGGCGACTTACTATACCTGCGCCTTGAGATGCCCGATGATCATATCATCGTCAGCCTTACAACGCGAGAGCCAAAACTGTGAGAGTGTGAGTATATGACGTTGAGGTCAAATGCAAACCAAAAAAGTGAACTTACACCTGCAGCTCCCGGAGTTGTATGAGTTTGGCCGAGACCACCATCTTGATTTACAACTTTGCCGCATGTAACCAAAGCTGCCTCGAATCCGAACCGTGCAGCTCCTCCATCCATCTACATGTATTTAGTAATATGACACCGCCAGTTGAAGGTTGCGTACCACAGCGATGATCTTCTTACAAAACTTTTGAAATTCTTGTGCGCACATGGCAATGGTTTGAGGGACACCACTGAGAATTACGGACTGGCCATGGTACTCTAGAATAGTCTGCCACATGTCAGGATACGCTGCTTTAAATAACTCATAGCAGTTCCGGCGTACAGTAGCACCTAGACAAAATTAACAAACAACATAGCGAGAGACACACACACTTACTTGGGGTTCCTGGTATGTCAGGAGCCTTGTCACTGAGTCTGTCAAGCTCCTGCTTGAGATTATCTTTGAAGTAGCTGCTATATGCATTCCAGTGGTTGACACTGTTGATGGTGCGAGCATGGCTCTTGTTCCACAATGAGATGACTTGATGAGTGGGAATGGAAGTTTGATGACTGAGCTCATCCACGAGCCGTTCCATATTGACAAAGCCCTTGTGGAGGATGTCATTCATTGCGTCTTGCCTCCATCCTTTCACAGCAGGGACGGTACCCTCACTGTCATCCATCAGAACATCATCAAGATCCCAGCCTCCCAACGCCGGATCAATCTGAAAAGTGGGGGTCGGAGGTATGATATGTGTCTCAGGGACAGAGGGTATTACAGAGGGTCCGGTGGTGGTGGGTAGCATGTCATTGACGATGTCATGAAAGCCAGTGGTTGCGGGTAGTGTAGAGGGACCCGGAATGTCGTTAATGATGTTATGAAAGCTGGCGAAGTTGCCACTAAGTCGTATGTCTCATATTCAACACGAGCAGGCTTAGTGAATAAATTTGGCTTTGGAGGGACCTTGGGAGGGGCGACACCAGAATCATAGAATAAATCCTGAAGAGGTACAGCCTGATGTGCTGGCGCAGGCTCGAGCGCCGGACTACTGCAGATGTTAGGAGGTATGGTAGCAGCAACAGGTACAGAAAGTTTCGGAGGGTGCACAACTTCCTCACTGATGGGCTGGCTAACGAGGGCGCTGCCTCCTGGTCCAGAGTCACCTCCAGTTGGCTGATCATCGGCAGGCATGGCTTGATGACGCATCAACACCTCCTTGACAAGCCCCATGTTGTGAGCTGTAGGTTTGATACGTGTCCGGAGACGGGTTGGAGTTGGATCCACGACGGGATCCACATAGCGTTTACCGCCACCCACTTGTTCTTGCAGGTAGTCTCCTTCGGTGGGGGACCCGGGGAAAGGGGATGAGCTTGCATAGTCAGGCGGGGGATAGTTGATTTTTTTCTGAGTCATGGCTACGAGGATGAGTGAGTATAGTCCTACAACAAAGTATAGAAATGTCTGACCTGCAAAATGTCATGCAAACAAAAATGTGTAACAAGAAAGCAAGATTGGGAGGTTGAGGTGATGTCTTCTGGAGTGCTGGTGAGGACTGCACATGCATGGTCCCAAAAAAAAAACTCACGAGAAAATGTGCAGAGAGCAACTGTTTTTGATTTTTGTTCTGGAGTGTTGGTGAGGACTGCGCATGCATGGTGCAAAAAAAAATCACGGAATCAGGAGGTCGGATGAAGATTTTTTGGCTGATAGGATATAAACGCAGGAGAGGTTGCACGAAGAGCAAAACACAGGGAGGGTTGCACGAAGAGCAGAGTGCAAAGGGCGAAAGACTCCACTATCATGTTGTTGAGCAGGAATCAAATCAAGAGATCCGCTGTTTCGAAACAGAAGTCAGGAATGTGATCAACCAGAAAATAATGGATCTGCTCACATATGGCATTCGAGGGACCCGTGTATTATATATAGGCATAATTGCCCTTCAAACTCACTAATTGAAAACAGAAGTTAGGAAGTAATAGGAAGTTGACCAGCAACCCCGAGAAATCACGCAGGTTGGTGGGGGAGCAAATGAAACACTCCAGGTCTATGCGCACCAAGCCAGCAGGCTCAGCTTGGGCACTTGTCTGTCCTGCCAGGTTGTTCAGTCTTGGTTGTTCAGTCTTGGTTGTTCAGCATACTGAAAATTTGAATGTTGTTGGACTTACTGAGAGGTCTAATCTTGTGTAGGTGAGGATTGATGATTGATGACCGATGATCCTCCAGTGCAGTATTAAATGACTTGAAGTCGTTGTGAAGATTGGCCGAGAATTCTGCGTGGGAATTTACTGATCTGCCAAATCCTGCCTTACCACAACATCGATGCTCATAAATGGAGTTGGCACTAACTTCTTCGCTTGATCGAGAGAGCGCTTCTGCCATCGATGCTGTTCTCCTCACATTTTCACCTTCACTCGCACTGGCCACTTCTCAAACTGTGCTGCTCCTCCTCCTCCTCACGAAATTGGTCACATGGATCGCGCCATGGATTTTGCCAGACTTGATTCAGTTCTCAGTCGCATCGCTTTACAACACGGGATATCAGAAGAAACACTGTTGGCAGAGTGGCTTGAGAGGCGGGAAGTTACAGATTCTGAGCATTGGAAGCAGCTCAATGGCATCCCTTGCATTATTGGGGGGCTGAATGCACTTCTTGGTAAGTCTTAATGATGATTGATCTGTCGAATTACTGACAATTTTACAGGCATGCTCGAAGGTTGTGGGGGGACATTTCCGTGGAAGACATTACCCACCATTCTAGCCCGCCGTGGCTGCACCCTCCACCACTACCCCAAGAATGTGCTTATGCCCGGCAAGAAACGCCCAATGCTTGCCAGGAGCAAGGGTATCCACAATCTCACACTCCATGAGCAGGACCTACTTGCTGACGCACTGAGAACCAATTCCATTACCATTCAACACATCACTAACAATAACTCCCGACGGAAAATCCAGATCTCCCGCGAACCGATCATCTTCGGAGAGGCGCCTGAATATGATTCGCCAGACCTGCATGGCCGTCAGTGCGTTCCTCAATGGTCAGATTGATAGGAAGGGGGCTTGCTCGTCTCATGATGGTTGAGACATCTTCAGAGCCATCTCTTGTCTTGTCTCCACCCGCACCTTCTCGCCGGCTTCCTCCAGAGCCATCTCTTGTCTTGTCTCCACTGGCACCTTCTCGTCGGCTTCGACGGTGGATTCCTCGTCTCATGAGGGCTGAGACATCTCCAGAGCCTCCCTCAGAGCCATCTCTTGTCCTGTCTCCACCCGTCCCTTTTCATCGGCTTTGTCAGCAGAAACTACGAGTACTATCACCTGAGGATTCTCCTGTTGTGTCTCCTGTGCCTTCATGTCATCGGAAACACCAAGTTTTTGTGGAGTTGCCCCTTGCCCCCTCCCTCCTGGAGGTTGAAAGCGACACAGTGGCACTCCTCTTCGCCTGTCAGTAGAGCAGAAACTAGCGCACTCATTCCACAGATCACCTGCCTCACTCAGCTTTCAGCAACTGCGGATGACACTGAGGAGGAAGAAGTTGACGGGCTGCTCAGCCAGCTTTTGGGACTGTGACTACGGTTGGCGCTATCAATGAGGATGAAGTAGATGTGAGGTTTGTTGGGTCCCAGGGAAGTGAAGTCTTTCTTGTTCTGTACCACTTTGTACTCTAGAAGTCACCACAAAGTTTATTGGATTGTGTTGTCCTATCTCCTTGCAGGAATTACCCCTGCAGTTCTATATACTCGGGAAGGGGGGATATATCACACAACTCCCATCATCAGTCCCACAACAGCCCGAACGTCCATACATTTTACGAGCGTGTTTTGGATTCAGCCAAGCCCAGGTCATCCATCCCTTCAATGTCTGCACTGTTCTGAAATTACCAGGCTGTTACCAGTGAATAAAGAGGTAGCACTTACTTCTTCAAGGGCTTCTTCAGCTGAATCTAACTCGCACTGTTGGTGTTCGGTGAGTGCCAGTGCTTGCCCTGCCAAATCTGGCCATAGTGCATCTCGCTAGGGCCAATCTTGCAACCAGTCGTTATAGAGCTGTACCAAGAACACCTTACTAAGTTTACTTGGCTAAATGGCAGCCGTTGGTATTTCGTCAAGTGTGGCATGAGCCATGCATGCTGGTCTTGGGTTGGCTGCCACCTTGGCATCTAAGAATATATGTCATGTCACATGGAATCACCGAATGAGCAACATCAACTTACGACAATGTTAATTATTAGAGGTGAGCGACAGAACTGATTTTTTTTGGTTTGTTGGTGTAGAGTCGAGTTCAAACTCTCAGACAACACTAAATGTTCGACCCGCATGGATTCTTATCAGAAAAGGCACGGTCTGCAACTCATCCAGGTACTGTATACGGCTCATCCAGGCAACTCATTTTATTTTTACATGCATATTACGGGGTCTAATAGTGCACAGGTAACAAATCACATGGAGATACTGTCAGTGTACTGGTAATATATCTCCCCCTTTTCATATGCCTCCTCCAATGCATCCATATCAATCCTGACCCACGCGATGATATCTTGTAATGAGATCCTGACCTCTCGCATGTGTGTGAGTACTGCAGTTCCAACCTTGCGAGCCTCCTGTTCTAAGTCCTCAATTATATCAAGCGCCGCAAGGATATCTATGAGTGCATTCCACACTTCAGACTCCTCACACTCAATCAACATGCAACATAGACCTTCTGCAAACTCGCGAGATGAGTGGTCGATGACTGCGAATAGTTTTTGGTCTATAGTTTTTGTATTTCTAGAGATTAATTTTATGAGTAGAGTTGTAGTGGCTAGTCATTATGATGATATACTGATTTTTATAGGCCTGTCTATACTTGCGAGCAGCTTTCACCTTCTCTTCAGGTGAGTTGTATAATCGAGGTTCGGGCCATAGTGGGTATGCAAGGGAGATTTACACACTGGTTGGTGTGTGAGGGAGATTTACTGGGAGTTCTAATTCTGACATCCTAGACTGCTGGTGTGTGAGGGAGATTTATGGATTAATTGGTGCACCAGGAGATTTACACATGGGTGTTTCTATCCTTGTTAGCGGGACATTGAGGATGCAATATACTACTGTCAAGCACAGATCTCTTTGCGAAGACTCGAGCTTGGTGATTCGCAATGGATTCTTCAGCTACATAATCAGAATACAGGAATTGCTATCACAAGTGTCCATAGGTAGTGACGAAATGTTGAGATCTCATTTTCCTGCAGGCCTGTGAGATGGCATCCACGTAATGTTGCTGTGATCATCGTGAGCACCCATACCCCACAGTCGAAACCATTCATTTGAACTGCTGTCATCTGAAATCGATGAGCTGGGGACATATGTTTGATGTAGAGTGCACTTACTATCAAAGGGCGAGCAACCCATCCATTAAAGTCTAAACCGACGCTGAATACCTCTCCGTGCTGCCGAGCAACATTGTAGAGGCGGACAACAAGTTCCATGACATCCTAAAGATATTAAACATTAAGATGAATGATACATGGAATGACACTCACTTCGACATCATTCTTCCACGGCTGCTGCTCTGCAAAGCTATCAAAAAGGTGAAGCACCTTGTGCTGGAGATGCACTATGCAAAGTACCCAATGGCCAACTCTGGAGGGTCGATGAATTGGTAATACCCACACATCTTTGGCCCAATAGCGAGTCCAGGATGCATTCCGCCAAAGAGCATTGTCAGATGCACTGGACTGGATGAGTGGGAGGTAGTGTGTAGACAGAACTGCGTGTTGCTCTACAGTTGGGTACATCTCTTGAATTTCTGAGTAAAGAAGCGCAGCGTAGCTGTTAATGCAGGTGTCATTGAGGAGTGCCGTATGTGATGCGAGTATCTGGATATCTCTCGGTTCAAAAACTTGATGCAGAAACCCATGACGGGCAGCGCAAATTCTGGTTGTGAGTGTTCCCAGAACAATAATACCACCACACCACGTCATCATTTGTATTCGACTAATATCATCAATCCGGAGTTCCTAATAATGCACAGATATCAATCACCGGTCATCAATGTAAAAAAAAAAACTTGCCTCTGGAAGGAGCCAAGAGATCCCTGCTCGACACTCAGTCTGTGAGGCAGAGTCTTCATCCTCGTCACTGTCTTCTACAGTGATGATGTCCACAAGCGCAAGATCTTCGGGCCTTAAAGCAGCATCATCGTGTGCCAGGATTGGGATCTCTGGATCTTCATCCTCATCTTCAGGAGGTGCAGTGCATGAGACCATAGGAATCCAACAAAGTGCGGCTTCTCCAGAAGTGCCTGAGAATCTCTTTGCCAGAGATTCAGCGTCTCTTGCTCGGGACTCAAACTGCAGTGAGGAAACGAGTGGGTTGGACCAACAACTTTGAAGATGTCTCAGGTGCTCTCGCCGCTGGTGCAACAAGATGATAATTCTTTCATCTGCATGGAGGTCAGCACGTATGTCAATGGTCAAGAGGGCACATACTCTCAGGTGACTGCAGTGCAAGTTCTATGGCAGCCAGCTCATCACCAAACCATCTACAAAGGTTATCCACTTCTAACTCAAGACGCTGATGTTCCTCAATGCATCTATCGCGCTTTAACATCGCGTGCATCCCATCTCGGACATTCTGATCATCTAGCAAATGAGGGACCTCTCCACTCGATGGGGTGATCCAAATATCTTCCATTAACCTTTGGTCGTTGCGTAATTCATTTAATTTAGTCGGAAGAGGTGTCGGAAGTGGGATTCCACAGTTTGGTTCGTATAGTTCTGCAAGACGCTCGCAATATGCATTAAATTTCCACAATGCAGACATCAATGCTGGCTGTCATTTCGAGATGGCCTTGCGAGTCTGCTGGTGCAATTTTGTACCTGGACATCTTCAGCACAGATACTGATGTGTACCTAGCACATACCTACATAACACCTTTTGTGATCCACCTACTGTGCAATCCAATTTATCCCATTCAAAAAAACTCCCAATAGCATGCTTTTGAATATTAATCTTGAGGTCTCGCGCTAGTAGAAGTGTTCGAACAAATTCAAGGTTGATGCCTTCAAGCTCTGGGAATCGGTCGTGGACATTGAGTGATGCATATAGAACCTCCACTTTCCCCATGAGGTGTTAGTGGGTCTGTTCAAGGCTATCAATGGCATCAAGGGTGTCTTCAGAAACATGGCTCTTTGAAATCATCTCTCTCGTGGTTTGAAGGCCCTGGTCAGATGAATCAAGGTCAGCCTGAAGAGCCAGAACGGTGTCTAACTCTCTTTTGAGACGTGCGGGAGCATCTATGTAGCAAGGTCAGCAATAGTCTGGGAGCCTCTGGAGCATCGAGAGTTTGATTGCGATGACATATGAGCGTGGATCGACAACTGAGACTGTTGCTGTGATACCCATTCTCTATGAAGCTCTTCAATTGTCACCCCACATTCACGAAGTATACTCTTCACTGCTGAGCCTTGGTCTTCAACACCGCATTTAAGCCGGCACCTAATCCAGTCTCCCAGGTCTGTGCGCATTTCAAGGCCGATTGCAGCTGCTTGTCAATCAAGCAGCCATAACCGACGTTGACGCTAACATAAACATTATTGGAAGTAAAAAGAATGTTATATTATCCAAATCACGTACCAAAGATGAGTGTTGAATGCCTATTAATCTACATATGTCTTCTCAATGGTAACAACAGCAAAATGTGGGCTGATATGTCCCACAGATGCAGAACAAGAGAGTGACAAATGTCTCCACACTGTCCAATCAGTCAATTGATCAGCCACGTCCTGTAACATTAGGCTTGATGATCGACAGACTTCCTGAGATAAATATACTGCCACATCACCAGGGTGGCCCTCAATTGGTCGAAGATGAGTTCAATACTTATAGTATGGGTGTCCTTGGCCCCACAGGTACAGATATACTATCTTTTTGGATGGTAAGATCCTTTGTCTCTGTAACAGGTTTTATTGATGACAAGGCATCAATGGTGGGCTATGTTTCGAAACCCATGTTTCTGACACTCTACAAACTCACAATGGACTTTCTGCCAATGTTGCAAATTCCTAATTTGGGTTTCAATGCCTTTTGAGGCATTTTAATGTTCAAAGACCAAGCGTGCATTGAAAGCGCTTCCAATAATAGAGTTGCGATTGTAATCACATTGTAATTTTGGTTGCAATTGTGATGGCAATTGCTGTTGTAATGCGTGGTAATCTACCTTAGGCATTGTAATAAGCTATTTGGCTGGGAAGCCACGATGTCCTTGAAACCGGTGTGAAAAACACAACCTGACTAGGCACTTGTAAAGGTACTAAGCCAGTATATGTCTAAGCTCTGCCTATGCTGCTATACTTGCAAACAATAAAGCAAGAATGTTCGACCCAAGGGAAAAGCTACAAAGGACAACTTAAGATAGAAAGACCCAAAAGTGCGCTAGAGCGTGGGAAATTGCGTCGCAAGATACTGCGCTAGTGCGCAGGAAAGTATGTCGCAAGTATAGAGCGCTATGGCATGAGAAAAGCGGAAGTGTGGGTTGGTAGATGGTCGCTATCAGGTCACTAATGCGTCGGTAGCGAAGGGGAAATGTGTCGCTATAGCGGAGATGCAGGTAGGGAGTCTAAGGAGTGTAGTGGATAACAAGTGAGGTCAAAGGTATTGATTGCAAGGGTAAGGGAAAGTCAAGGTAAAGTGATCAGGTATAGGGAAACCAATAGGGGCTATAGAGCGCAGCTAAAGGTGACTACTTTTAAGTAAAACCTAAGGGGAAGGAAATACAGTCGAAGGGAAGTAATGTCAAAGTAATCACCATAGGCTTCTTATACTAGTAAACTATACCATCTCGGACTCAGAAGGGATAGGATATACATGTAATAAGACTGTAGCACTTGTTACAAACTCAAGGCAAGGCAAATTACATACCAATGAGGCAGGATGGACAATGAATGGATTCCGATGTTTCAGGTGGACCCTAGAGCGTGAGAACAGCGCGCTGGATAAGCGCTAAGTGCGGGAACAAGCGCTAGATAGAGCGGACATGCACTAATGCTCCTATACATAGACACATTGCTGGTAGTTCTGATAGCGCTATAAGTGCGGGAATAGCGTCGGATAAGTCGCGGGAGCATGAATAGCGCTGCGGGAATGTGCGCGCATAGTGCGGGAAAGTGCGGAATAGCGTCGGACAAGGGTTATGGCTGAGACAAGTGAAGACTGCTGATAGGGGAGTAGTGAATAATATGAGGGATAACTTTGGTCCACCTATTGAAGGCTTATGCAGGTATACATGCCTAGTGCCAATATGATTGTCACACTGCCATTGAAGTGGAGTCGATCCCATGACAACACATTGTGTACGTCAGTATACATCATGGTCACAAAGGCATTCTGTAGCTTTCTTTAATCAAAAATGTATTTACAAGAGGAAATCTTACTATGATATCATGAAGGCCGTACTCTTTTAGTTTCTCCTCCTTCTCCTCAGCAGTTTCCTTGGCCCGTGCAGCCTTTAAGACTTCCTGTGACTGAGCAGACATTCGACAAGGATAACACTTCAATGTGTTCAATAGTTTGTCATGGGGAACAAGACAGACTGGACATGGCCAAAGGCATTTGATGCCTCAGATCAGCGACATAACGCATCTTATATTGTTAAGTACATTATCCGTTAGCAATTTAGATTAATATGGAAGTGTGACATTACTCACTGTTCCTCATAATCAGCCGATAAAATTAGGATGAAAGGAAAGAACTAGCATTGAACGCTATCAAGGCACTCAAACCATTGTCCTGTGTGAGATTTTGATGCTAGTGGAGAGAGGATCTTTAAGAATGACTCATGCCAAATGACATTCTTGAAGTTGACCCAGCTTGGCTTGCCGGCGTGGTCTCTGTCTTCCTTCACCTGTGCCAGAGTATCAGTCCGAATGGTCAATATATTAATACTATAGCCATGTCATACAATCGGAAGCCATCCAACTACATAGCCGCCACCTATGCCTTGTCCATTATGAATATCTGTAGGTAGATTTGCTAGACACGCCATGACAGGATATCCTCACGCGGTATCAAACTGAGGACAACTTAGTTTTGTCAGCATACAAAAGGCAAGCTAAGGGCTTGCCGCCTGGTAGTAGCTGGGACTATGAGACAAAATGAAGGCGATCAAAATCGCCACATATGATATTAATACATACTTGAACATTCCAAAAGGTGTTGGCAGTGAAAGGTTCATCTACAAAATGTATGAAAGTCTTGCCATCGAACTTTGAGAACCATTGTGCATCAAAAACCATATGTGGGAACAGTCGAGGATCGCAAAGGAGATCGGCCACCCACTCCCAGAGATCCCGATAGTATAAATCAAATTGTTGAATTGAATCATCATATGGTACAGAAATTATGTCCTGAGTAAACTTAAACTCGGGAGTTATCAGACATTGAATGTCAGGAAGAACGAAAGAAAACCACCCCAGTGATGCAATGTGAGACAGCATCCCACCTGTTGCGGATGTCTTTGTGGTTCTGGAACGTGAATTTTTCCTGCCGGGAAGCGCACTGGTTACAAAACTTGATAAGATAGCAGTCTTGTGGATTCAACGAACGTCACATGCCAAACGTGATGAAAGAGTGACAAAAGACAAAAAATGTAATAACTATTGGTCAGGCCCTTTCTACATCAATCACATAGTCAGTTACCTCAGTAGTAATATTGTGAACATTTCACCTTATTCAAAATGAACAGAAGTGAAGTGGAAAGTTTTTAATTCCAATTTCAAAGTGGCTGTCAGTGGCACAGTACTATGCATGATACTCCGACGCAGTTTGCCGTGAAGCCATTGCCATCCTCTGCCTAGAAGACACATGGGCAACAAGATGTGCTCGCAGAAATGTTCAAGAGACAATCTAGTAATAGCATGGGCTCACAAAGCATCTACTTAGGAAAAAACAAAAGACCTTGAACATTGAGCAAGAAGGCGCTCTAAGTCCATACTACACTTTGTGCACTAAAAGCTAACTTCATTTGAACCGAATGTTATTGAATCACTTGATGCCGTCCCAATGGAGTCAATGCGACGGTGAGCGCTGCCCAATTGTTTCGGTACACAAGCCGCATGGGTGATAAAAATACTGCGACCATTGTGTCCTCCCGCAATCCATTATGGAGGAGCTTGATTGTCATACACTCCCAACAACACGTTAATTCACGCGATACACATCTTCTACTAATGTTATAACTCATTTAGTACTTAAGTACTTAAGCTTCTTGCTGCTCTTAATCTACCTATACTTAAGTAGTATTCATTGTACCATATTCTTCAATTTCTACTTAGCATGCTTCGACATGAGTTCGGCACTGTTCGGCAGACCTTTGCGACACATATCCACACAGCGTCACACTTTGTCACATGCACATGATGTTCGTCGAATTCACAAGACCGCTATCTTAAGACAATCAGTCAGTTCATTATTTAGGCAGGCCTCCAGAGCAAGCTCAGCAATATCAAACTCCAGCTGCAATCTGAATGGAGCCCAAGGGTGTTTGTCAGGTGGTGTAGAAGATGTCAATGGTGTTGGACGGCGCTTGAAATCATTGAAAGTGTGTATTTCTGGTGCCATCCCATTGCCGGGATTATATTCACACTTAATATTGTTGACCTCGAACATGGGATCCACGTGTTCAGGGATGTCAGCATCAAGAAATGAAGTAGGTTCTAGCAACACATGTTGCAGTAACATATTTCCGTATTATACGAGTAGACGGACGTGCATAATATCCCGTATGATATGGGCCAGCGGACCATGGGCCGAGGGTAGATATATCCTCAACTGTGACGGATGGGCCGGGAGTGTTATTATTCCCGATGGAGACGGGTGGGCCCAGGTGGGGAATATGTAAAGTAGATGGGTGGGCTGATGGACATGAATTTTCAATAGACGGATTGGCCGAGGTAGTTGGATATTATGTAGATGGGTGTACCAAGGTAGATATGTATCAAATAGCCGGGTATATCAAGGGTGCTTGTTATCACATAGACAGGTGGGCCCAGATATATATCATATTAGACGGGTGGCGACGAATTAATATTATTTTGTAGACAGGTGGGCCGAGGGAGCGGTAAAAGATGTATTATATATGGGTGGGCCGACGGGAGACATATATTGCATAGATGGGTAGGCCGACGTGGGGGTATATAAGATAGACGGGTGGGCCCAGGAGAATGATAATTGTAGACATGATGGAGCTCAGCTAGTTGTATATCATCCAAATCAAAGGAGGTAATTATTCAAAGTCATCTAATGATGTGGTATGGCATGGAGCTTTGCAAAGGGGTGAAGTGGAAACTCGAGCGAAGTGTACCGAGTTCCGAGACCCGGGTCTTGACAAACGAATATGTGATGTCCAGCACACTTCCGATCATCTGGTATTTCATTGAGCAATGGATGATAATAGATCTTTGAAAGCCAACATCATCCAAGCCTACCAAATGCCAAATGCCAAGTTCTGACCACCGAAAATCGAGTGAAGTGTACCAATATCTGAGCCCCAACTATCAAATCCCGAAAATCGACCATCGAGTCTTGACTATCGAGTCCCGACTACCGAGTCATGAAACCCGACGCCTGACCATTGAATCCCGACAATCGAGTATCGAGTCCCAATCAACGAGTCCCGTATATCAAGTTCTGACCATTGAGACCTGAGACCCGACGCCCGAGACCCGAGATTCGAGACAAGTTCCAACTATGGTGTCCCGGGTATCGAAATCGAGTGAAGTGTACCGAGATCCAAGGCCCGGGTCTCAACAAATGAGTATCTGACATCCAACAGACTTCCAATCATGTGGTATTTCATTGAGCAATAGATGATAAGAGATAATAGATCTTTGAAAGCTCAGATCATCCAAGGCTCCCTTATCTGATCCTCTCAATCTCCACCCCCTTTAACACCAAAGTGCGGACATTCAGGATTCAGCTTCTGATCTCACAAGATCAATTCAATCATGGATGTTTCTTCCACTTCTGATGATGAAATAACCCTCTTGCGCACTTGGGCCCTGACTGTCACTCATGTGGCATGTGATTATACGGAACAGAAATTCAATGCAGAGAAGACAGGAGGAGACCCAGTTATACCTTCTCCAAACCTAGACACTGATCTGGTGATGGCTTGTGATCGATTGGTTGATCGGCTCATAAAGGCATATAAAAATCCCAGTGAGTCTTCCTGCAGATTCAGAAAATTCATTTTATCAGTCAAATTGCTTCATCACAGTTCAGATGCCGATCGATATTGCAAGATATAGCAAATTGATCTCCCCAAAGGACATGGGGCGTAATGAAGAGAGAGAGGAAAAGTTGCTCGAGAGGTGTCCTCCTGGCCATGAGGGCACAAAGTTGATCGACATACCCGCTGAAGGATCTTCAACTCAGCTGAGGGTGCAGCTGATATAATTGTTGAAGGGAGGAAAATATGAGTGCGATATGTTCGTCCCTTAGGGGAAGCGGAGAAAGCAAATATCCACTGGTCAACTCTAGGGGGAATGCGCAAAGCGCGTGATAAGGCGAAAGCGCGGGAACAAAGGCGCTATAGGCGCGCGAAGCGCGGGAAAGTCGCGCGTCGAAAAGCGGAACTGGGTGAAAGCGGTATGCGAGCGATAGTGAGATGTTAAGACGTGTACTGAGATGCTGATAAGACAACTGATGCGGATATGGCCACTAGAGCTAACTGCTACTAGGGCTTGCGATGATTTATTCAAAACATAATAAAAACTCGGAGATGGTGACTGTCTATGATGATGGTGGTCCGTGGTAATGTGTGTTGTGTAAAGTAAAAAAATGTGTCATGAAAAATGTGTACCAAGTGAAAATAAACATGGTACGATGTTGAAATAAATGATAAATGGAGAAATGCATACCTGGGAACTTGGTTGGACATGGGAAAACACAGTGGGAAGTCAGGCGCCCTATAGCGCTTAGGCGCGGGAAAATTCGCCTAAAGCGCGCGCAAGTCACGCAAGTGTCGCCTATGTCGCGGAAGTGTCGCCTAAGTCGCGCGCGTCGCGCGAACGTCGCGTTTATCGCGCAAGTGTCGTGTTACATGCATGATACTGTAGACTCGACCTATGTTGCAATATGTGCCATTGTGAGGCTACCCAGGATCGAGTCTCTACACCGCGACAATTCTTGATGCATCCGGTGCCATCATCGCATGGTACCTCCCAGACGCCTTGACCAATGCCACCCAGGTGTGTTATATATATTGTGACTGGATGGATATTGAACATCAAATGGTACATACAGAATGAAATTTGGGCGGCCTCGGATTTGCTAGCTCCCATGCTCAAACAAAGCATAAAGCTCAATGGGATTTGGCAGACTAATCAACAGTGGTTCACACCAAGCTCGGAAAATGATGTCCTAACTCCCGGATGCATTAATTTATCTCCGGCATGGTTTCACCAGGGGCACGAGGTAGGATCTGATGAGATGGCGATCTCGGTAGTCAAACTCACCAATCCCATAGAATCAGTCCGATCTGGAGGTATCTGCATCATTGAAGGGACCATCCTCCGAGAACATCCTCAAAGCCATTGCAAGGCCAGCAGCCATTGCCACAGCGGCACTCAGGGTGATGCATCCTGAGCAGTACTGGGCAGGGTTGCAAGCCTTTGCGAGCCTCGGAGAAAAGGCACGAAGCAAGGAACTGCCGAAGATGTCAGAGACTCTCCAGTACTGGGCAACGGTGTTTAACAGCCTCACCATCATATGCAATCGGGAAACCCCGAATGATCAAGACCCCTCATCGATTTCCAAATGCTTCGATATTCTCACTAGTGTGGGGAATTATTCTAATGCTCGGATGAGTATGCCAAGCCTGCAGCTGGAGTTAAGGTACGATCCGGGGTGCATGATTGCGTTTTCGGGAAGGATTGTCAGACACACGGTTCATGCAGTGGAAGGGGATCGGATTGCCTGGGCATGGTATATGAGGGATGCTGTTCATGTTTATGCTGGGATTCCGTCGTGTGGATGGGCAAGGTTGGATTGGAAGAAGTAGAAAGGTAGTTACCCGTGTTAGTACCCACCTTCAAATACATGATACTAGATATCAGGCACTCCATACTCAACATTCGGGTTTCGGGTCTTGATAGTTGGGACTCGATATTCGAGTATATTCCATAGTGATGTTGTACACATTTCACCGACTACTGAGTACCGGGTTTCGGTACACGGTACCCGGTACTTGATAGTCGGGACTCGATATTCGATTTCACCGACTACCAAGTACTGGGTTTTGGGTTTCAGTACACGGTACCCGGTACTCGGTGATTCAAGAAAACAACTCCCAAAATTGATGAGTGTCATGTTTTGAGTTTTGTTTTGATTTGTTTCAAGTGTCGAATCTCAGGCTTCGGGTTTCTGGTCTCAATAATAGGGACTCAATACTCGATGGTCGGCACTCACATCTTGGGCTTCGGGAGTCGATTGTCAGGACTCGGGTTTCAAGACTTGGTAGTCGGGACTCGATAGTGCGGATTCGGGTTTCAAGACTCGGTACCCAGTACTCGGGTTTTGGTACTCGGTGATTCAAGAAAGTGTTGTGTTGTTTTGAGTTTTGATTTGTTTTGTGTCGAATCTCGGGTTTCGGGTCTCGATATTAGGGACTCGATACTCGATGGTCGGCACTCAAATCTCGGGCTTCGGGAGTTGATTGTCAGGACTCGGGTTTCAAGACTCGGTAGTCAGGACTCGATAGTGCGGATGTGGGTTTCAAGACTCGATGGTTGGGACTCGATGGTTGGGACTCGATAGTCGGGCTGTGGGACTTGATTGTCGGGACTCGGTGGGGACTCAAAACTCACAACTCATAGCAATGTTCGAGTTCAAAGTCTTGTCTCGAATCTTGGGCTTCGGGACTGGATATCCGGGACTCTATGTTTGGGACTCAATATTTGGGACTCAAGATATCTGGATCTCGATACTCGATATTTGGTATGCAGGACTCAGCATATAGCAATAGGTCAGATATTCGAAAGTCAGTATGTAATTTTCAGTACTTATTTCATCATGTACAGAATTTAGACTTCAACATTCTGAACTGAAGGACTAGAACTACTCTGGTCCCCTTGAGTTCAATTTGGTTAGGACAGCGGTGTACATCTGAATCTCTGCCATCTTTCACGGATGCCAGCTTGTTGATCCTCAATCACTGTCAGGAGGCGTTCCCTCATCCACCTCAGTGCCTTCAGCATTGCAAGCGAGCTTTCATCCACCTGCTCGGGAACAACAAGATGTTCGTCCTCAATGCCAGACTAGAAAGGATTAGTCATCACTCAAGGAAATTCTGTACAAGTCTTACTAGCCAATGCTGGTAGTGACAGACACAATTAGCGAATACCTGATCCCATGGCCATAATTCGTTCGGGATGGCAGTTGATCCGGTCCACCATTGAGTACCATAGGTGGATACAATGCGGGAGGGATCCCCCAGATCTGCAATGTCTTGAAACTGGCATAGGTGGGATGAAAAGATGTGGTCCGGAACCATGTTCCAGGTGAGCTCGGGAATCAACTGAAGAATATGAGCAACCGGGCTCAGAACAACCGAAATGATGTTCCTTGCAGCTGAGTACTGCAGGATGGAGTCACAAAAGTCTGTTGGAAATGTCAGCATTGACCACCACAGTCATCAGCCTCTTACAGCTATCTCCCATTGCAGCCCAGCTTTAAAGTGTGTGATCCGAGTAGCAGAAGGCTCCTGGGTGTGGGCAGCCTCCATCTGATATTGAGAGATGGACACTCGGATGCGAGATGCAGCCATTGACATTGTAGCTGCAATATCTGCCTGAGTGAGTGTGAGGGGTCGGAACCCATTGCCGGAAGTCTGAGAATTAGAAGGGGATGTTGGGGGAGTATGCAATACAGACATGGTTAATGCAGGATTATGAAGCTGGAAATGACAATGACAATGGCAGTTGGTTCGGAGGTCAAGATATGAGCCACTGGTTGATTGATAAAAATTTTCAAACTCCGACATGGGTTGACCCAGCCAATTCCTGGGACTAAATGTTTGGGTCAAAGGTAGCTGTTTCATATCGTTGGCAAAAAAAATTCATTCATCTCGAGCATCTATAAACCCGGTTCTTCAGGTCTTG